CAGTCCTAGAGGAGATCCTGACTGCTCTTTAGAAGGCCAGATACTGAAGATGAAACTCAAGTACTTTGGCCACCTAATGAGAAGGAAGGACTCCCTGGAGAAGAGCCTAATACTGGGAACAATTGATGGCAAAAGAAGAAGGGGACGGCAGAGAATGAAGTGGCTAGATGGAGTCACTGAAGCAGTTGATGTGAGCTTGAGTGGACTCCAGGGGATGGTGGAGGACAGGAAGGCCTGGAGGAATGTTGTCCATGGGGTCGCGATGGGTAGGATGTGACTTTGCAACTAACAGCAACAAATCAGATCCATTCTCATCCTTAATAGCTCCCATTTATTATCACCTGAATGTTCAATTTACCTGGCTTCAAGGCAGGATTAACCCTGGCACACAAGAAGGGAATAAATAGATCTTGCAGAGTTGGATAATCAGAAACATTTATTCTATATTCCAATGTATGAGAGTCGTACAATCACCAAAGAGAGTAAGTGGAAATAAGGCAGACTGCAGAAATTAGTTGACATTACCCTCTTATCTTACATCCAAGTTCTGGTGGAGTGCACAACCGAGCTTGCAGACAGGCATGCGGCTGTCTATCACGAGTATCTTGGCAAAGGGACACTCTGGGTCAGTTGCCAGCTGCCCCATTCTCCTCATGCTGTGCCAAGCCTGCACATTCCAAGCACCTGATGTTCCAGACCGCCTGCTTTCCATACTCTGGCTCCCAAAACGGATGTTGCTACTCTTGCACACCAACCCCATGCACGTTTAAACTCCTGTTAAAGAACTCAGTGGAATATGCCGCCCCGAAGGTGAGCGGAGCGGACTGATCGGTACGATTGTAGGGGAGGGGCTTCCCTGGATTGTACCATTGAGATGGCGTCTGAGGGGGATCATACGTACGTACACGAAACAAAGCACCTTTGCGTGTCAAAAGACAAGGGTAAACAGACATGGTTTCTGACACGCTAGGTTTTTACAATGCAAAGGTGCGTTTTGGTATTTTGTGCACACGCATTAACAAGTGAATTTCTACTTGCAGCGTGCATTGGGACGTTCGAGGGAAGCTTTATTTGTATGAACGGCCCCTAGAATCTGGATCTTAGATAATATTAGATAATTGGAAATGTTTCCGGAGATCCACTAGGGCTTCCTCAATATTTTACCGGTGTCTTCTCTATCACATTGCAATATCGGAATGAACTCAGGACCAGATTCTGATCCCTCCCTTGCACTAGGAGAAAGAGGCCTGTTCTGACATAAGTGCGGTACAGGATTCCAATTTCCCCTGCCCTCGCGGGGAGAGTCAGTCATCCACGCCACGGCTTTCCAAAGCGTTAATGCGGGAGCCCAAGCGTGGGGGTGGCTGGTTAAGGAGCACGTAGTTGGCTACGGAAAGCAAAGGGCGAAGGAGGGCGACTATCATGTGAGGGGAAACTGTTCAGCCGTAGCCAATGAATTAGCGCGCCTGCAAATAGCGTAGGCCTAGCGCAACCCGTTTGCATCCTGCTGTGGCCATTCACAGGCTGTGGGATGGGGGTTATGATCAGAGCCCACATGTGCACACCCCACTTTTTTTTTTTTGGGCCAACTCCCCCTCTGATCTCACTTCCTCTGCGGGCGGGGCGCCGGGAACCCGGATAGAAGAGGAAAACGCGCTAAAGGGCTCTTGGTGTTCATCATGGCCAGCAGCTACCCTAAGCCAGAGGAGAAGACTCTCCAGGCTCTGCAAGATGTTGCTAACCGTCTTCGGATTCACTCTATCCGTGCTACCTGCGCCTCAAACTCCGGGTAACTGACTGAGGCGATATACACTGCCCTTTTCTCCGCCAAGAGGGAGTTTCCAGAGATCACCTTCGTTTTTCTAGTACTGGGTGCAGCATGTACGGGAGGATGGGGATATCAGCAATAGCATGCCTTCATACTATGCCTTCACACACACACACACGCCTTCATATATATAAAAGACTTAGCCCTTGTCTTTTCTTCTTCTGAAGAAATCAACGTGAGAATGGGAACCTTGCGGGAGTTAGACTCGTCATGTCTTTCGCTAATTTGAAGCTCCCTCTTTAATTTTGAAGGACTGATGTTCACAGCGATTTTTGTAGCCCGATTCCGCCTCGTGGGGGAGGGGCGCATATGGGGGGTGGGGGGATGAGCGCAGGGGCTGTTCCTGGGTTCTGTAGGTGCCTTGCACAAACCCATTCATTTGAATTGCTGGCCTGATTTAGACATTCTCAATGTGGGCTTTTTGGTGAAGGGGCTCATTACTTCCCTTCCAATTAACTCAGGATTCAGAGAGGGCCCTGCTTGCTTGATGCTGTGGGCTGAGGTGGATGGGTTGCTCCGATGGGTGTCTCTAGCCTTTATTCTTCTCTGAACTGTGGCTGCTAGCTTTGTGCCACCATTTTCCTTTTGTCTCTACAGCCACCCCACATCATGCTGCAGTGCTGCAGAGATCATGTCTGTGCTCTTCTTTCATACCATGCGCTACAAACCAGCTGATCCTGGCCATCCCAGCAATGATCGCTTTGTGCTTTCCAAGGTGAGAGTTCTGTGATGCAAGTCTTTGTGTAGATAACGGAGCTGGGCTGAGGCCTGTTTCAAACATTTAAATTACTTTAAGATCTTACTTCCGTTTTGTATCCAAGAGCTGGGATCAGTTCTCCATACGGTTTTGCATAGGACACCCTCAGCCAAGGGTGGTCATCTTTTTGGTATTGATATGGTTTGTTTCCCTCTGACAGGGCCATGCTGCCCCTGTGCTCTATGCCGCATGGGCTGAGACTGGTTACATCAAGGAGCCAGAGCTGCTGAAATTGAGGAAAATAGACTGTGACCTGGAAGGCCATCCAACCCCAGTAAGTGCTTTTCTTAGAGCAGTTCTGAATATCTTTGTGGTTTGTGCCAAATTATCAGCTCCATTCCCCTTGTCATCTACAGGGATTAGATATGTTCACTACTGATAAAGATTTTTTTCTGGCTGAAATGTACCTAAAGTGACTTCTTAAATACAGTGTTTAAAGATATCTCATTTGCTTTTACAAATGTTGGTTTCAATGTTTCAATGCAGGTAAAGTAATTTTTGCTGACTTCTAATTTTAAAAGGCTGTGTTTGTATATTATTGGGCATCAGCTATTTTGAGGGCCACTGAATGGTAGGAGAGCAGTGTGTAAAAAACTATAATACTACTACTGTTTGTTCATGAAGCTTGAACTGCAGTTGCAAAAACTAGAGGATGCAAGCTGTGGCAGAGCTTTTATGTTTCTCTTCCATGTTAACTTAGGATCATTTATGCAGGAATATAGCCAGTGTTTGAAACATGGCACTGGTGAGGAGGGGAAGTTAAATTCTCTGCATATGTGGATGTAGTGTCCAAATTCAGAAAAGATACAGGACAAAGGACAGGTATCATGGGAGTGATTTGTAATGGAGAACAAGTATATTATGGTGTTCATTCCATGTTTCTAGCACTCCTCCCTCATGAACCTCTCTTGGCTTGACAGAGACTGCCTTTTGTGGATGTAGCCACTGGCTCACTGGGACAGGGCCTGGGAGCTGCCTGCGGAATGGCCTATACAGGCAAATACTTTGATAAAGCCAGGTGAGAAACTATGGGTGAATATGGAAATATCTACATAATGAAGCCTGTTGCTTCATGCATAGGAAGTTCCTTAATACCTCTTGTCTTGGGCCTGGTGATGAATTCATCAATGGGAGGGAAAGACAAATGGTGGATTTGGGAAAGACCCATCTCTGCTCCTCTGCTTCTCTTATTGGATCCTGATGTGCGTTCCTCTCTCCTAGTTACCGAGTGTACTGCCTGCTGGGAGATGGAGAGTCCTCAGAGGGCTCTGTGTGGGAAGCCCTGCAGTTTGGAGCCCACTATGAATTGGACAACCTGGTAGCTATATTTGATGTCAACAGGCTGGGGCAAAGTGAAGCAGCACCCCTGTGCCACAACACTGATGCCTATCGCAAACGTTTTGAAGCTTTTGGGTAAGCACTGCTGGCTGATTTTGCTCTTGTACTGGCAAGGAGCCTGCTTCTTGCACCAACTTTTTCTTGTTCTACTAGGTGGAATACATATGTTGTGGATGGACATCATGTGGAGGAACTGTGCCGGGCCTTGTGGCAAGCAAGTCAGCATAAGGGAAAGCCCACAGCAATTGTGGCTAAGACTTTCAAAGGGCGAGGAATCCCAGGTGAATACAGTGCCCTTGTCTTGGAGGTAGTAAGGGGATGGGTTGCAACTATTTTTCCACATTTTACCTAGTAATTGTTCTTTGCCTCAGATGTGGAGAATGCTGACAATTGGCATGGAAAACCTATGCCTAAGGACAAACTGGACTTCATCATCAACACTATTCAGAGTCAAATTCAGACTAATAAAGTCTTGTCTATCCAACCACCTGCTCAGGATGTGCCACAGATCAGCACTGGGTATATCAAGATGCCTTCACCACCTGCCTACAGAATTGGGGAGAAGGTACTGCATAGATAGACTGCCTGAAAAAAATTGTCTTTCAGTTTCCAGTTAATCCAACTTCTCTACTTCTGCCTTAAAAACAGAGGTGTCTTTATCACTTGTAACTTTGTCTGTGGTTCTTTGTGACTGCTAGAACGTAATCCAGAATCCACAAAATCCTAGGCTTCATATTCATTTTAAAAGATTACTACTTATCTTTCCATAATCATGATAAAATTTTGATAAAGTCTTCAGGAGATCTGGGGTTTCAGGTTGTTTGGAAAGGCCATTTTTATATTTTAGCCACCTCTCTATTTTCCCTTGCAGACCTTATTCTGTCTTCCTGTACTGGGGTGGACAAGTCATGGCCCTCAAGATGCTGGTCTGTAATTGCATTTCTTAGCATTGGCTATAAAGGCTGGAACTCAAGCAGGTTAGAGTCTGACAACATCTGGAGGGCCGCAAATTGCCCATGCTTGACCTACATCCATATCCCCCAATCTAATGATAATACCCACCACATCGACTCATATGCACAACCCAGGCGCTGGTGAGGAGGGGAAGTACAGGCAGTCCCTGAGTTACAAACAACCTGTACTTACAAATGAACTGACATTTTTTAAAAAAATTACTCTGGAAAATCATCACCATAGAGAGAGAAGTGAGAAAGGAGAGAGGGAGGCCTCCAAAGCATGCCTTCCTGCCCTGCCCATCTGGAGAGAGAAATCTCTTTGGCATTTCCTTGCTCCAAAGAGGTGGCACTGGGGGGTGGGGTGAGTGTGAGTGAGGGAGAGATTGATTGATTGATGATTTTTCCACTTTCATGGAGGATCTGCACCCCTAAACCCCGTGAATGTAAAGGGCAACTATTTGTTATCCAACTTGGATACAAATTTGACTTAAAGACACATTTTCATTTTTTCAGGAACAGAACTCATTTGTAACCTGAAGACCAAATTTTGTGCACGAATGTTCAAATAATTCAAAAGTTATCAGTATATCAGAGAGTCAGTGTGGTGTAGTGGTTAAGAGCATGGGACTGGAACTCAGACGATCTGGAGCCAACTGGGTGACTTTGGGCTAGTCACAGACTCACCCCAACCTACCTCACAGGGTTGTTGTGGGGATAAGATGGAGGAGGAGAATGATGTAAGCTGCATTGAGCCCTTTGTAGGAAAAAGGCAGAATATAAATCCAAAAATAAATAAATATTCAATTTGAATAATACCTTTTAGATCCTTTTTCCTCTCAATCTTCAATCTTCACCCTCCACCCAACCCTGCTGCCATCTTTATAGCAAGTTATCAGAAAGTTCCTGTATTCTGGCATGTGCATATGCAACAGCTGGTGGGGAGATTGCATGCCTTTTCTAATTAAGAAAATAGAAAACGGTTAGGCTTTTGATACTGTAGAAGGAGAGAGGGGAAATGAAATTTGTTCCTACCAGAGTAGGTGTGCCCTTTGCCTTAGTGACAATTTACAGGTGTCTTGTAGTAGACTCTAATGTGACTTGTCTTTCAGGTGGCTACCCGCAAAGCCTATGGCTCAGCCTTGACAAAGCTGGGAAATGTTAACAGCCATGTGGTAGTCTTGGATGGCGACACGAAGAACTCTACTTTTGCTGAGATTTTCAAACAAGCCCATCCTGAACGCTTTATAGAGTGCTATATTGCTGAGCAGAACATGGTGAGTTCCCTGTTTTGAAAAGCATTGCTGCCTAGTGGGCTGCAACTTGTGATGATACTCTTGTCTTATTCTGCAGGTCAGTGTGGCTCTGGGGTGTGCCGCTAGGAACCGTGCTATTGCATTTGCCAGCACCTTTGGAGCCTTCTTTACCAGAGCATTTGACCATATCCGGATGGGTGCCATCTCACAAACAAACATTAATCTTTGTGGCTCCCATTGTGGAGTATCTATTGGTATGTACTGCATGATACATGAAGCCTTTTTATTGTTTATAACCTGAATACCCTGTCTTTTCTCCAAATAGTTTAAGGTGGCATACATAGTTTCCCCTCCCTTCCGGATTTTAAGCTTGCCAGAGACCTGTGAGGTAAGTTAGGCTAGAGAGACTGAACTAGTCCACAGTGAGATTCATGGCTAAGTGGGGATTTGAATCTGGCTCTCCTCAGTCCTAGTCTGACACTGGGCCTTTTCTACTAAGCTATATAGTTTACCATTGTTGTGAGTTTTTGAGAACTACACATTCCATTTAGCCAGTAGGAGCTCGGCTGAAGAGATGCAGTATGTGGGTTTTGGAAAGAAGCAAGTGTACTCTTGTCCTAAGAATGCTGATTGTTCTCCAGTGACTCTTTCTGGTCTGCTCTGGGACTTTGAGTAAGCATGTTTGAAAGTCAGCTATCTACTATTAAAAGAGAGAGTGCAAATTAATGTATCATGCTAAGACACCTTGAGAACAAACTACAGTGGGCTGGTTGCTCATTATTCCTGATAAATTATCAGACATGCTGCAGCTCACTCTGGCTTATTTTCCCCTCAGCCTTCCTGCCCTCTTCTGGCACATACCCCAGATGCCTTTATGGTAGAAATCCTTACTACTGCATTCCCTACCATCAGCACCCTTTAAACAATTAAAGGGGTTGCCAGCTTATGAGGAGAATCTCCCCCCTCTGCTGCCTCAGATTGCCAAATGCATATAATTTTTGGAGCCCTTATGAATGCAGTAACACATTGGCAAATGTTTATTTTTCCTTTTATTCAAGATCATGCACAAGAGTGCAAGACTACCTGTCCTCAACTTAGCTCAGCATACTGATAGCCACCTCTTGTCAATGTCCATCTCAACATCATCCTCCACTTTGGAGCTTGCCTTGCTAGAAAATAGCCCTCCTTTAAAAAAAAAAAAAAAAAAAACTGCTTTACATGCTACTGAAATAATTACATCCATCCAAAGTGCTTCTTCCATAGGTGCCTCCCCAAGCCTTTTCATGCTACTTCCCTCTACAGCTGTGTTTTGCTAGCCATCAGAGATGGAGTTGGATTAGAGAATGGTGGTGAAGTTATGTCAACTGCAAGGCAGAGCAGGGAATGACAAACATCAGTAAAGATGCACAAATCTCAGAGCAAAGCAGTGAGTGGGATTAGTAAATATATGCAAACTTCATAGAGCAGTAAAGCAGAGGGGAAAATATGCAAAATTTACAGCAGTGGATTCTTGTATGCACAGACTTGCAGAAAATGATGGGGGGAGGTGTCTGTCTCTCTCTGCTGTCTTTGATTTTTAGGAGCATGGGTAGAAGGCATTGAGAAGAGATAGAAGAGGATAATACTGACAAGGGTTTTTGCTGCTCTTGCTAGGCGGCTTTCTAGCCATTCCCAACAACCCTTGGTGAAACTGCCCCTGTCACATGTGGACATTACAACAAGCCACCGTGAACAGCCCAGCACAAACAATGGATTCTCAGGATAGTTTGTTCATGGAAACAGCTCCCAGTGGAGGGAAAAATCAAGTCTGGATGTTACTGGAGTTGTTTCAGGATAGCTTACTGTAACAATGGAATGTGGCTTATCATGTTGGGCAAATTGGGTCAAAGATTGCAAAAACCATACAAACTAAAGGGCTGTAATGTAAGTGCTCCAAATACAACATGCCAGTGGTACAAAAAGTAGATTTAATTCATTGTTCCAGTTGGCTGTACACTAGATCTGAAGATTCACACAACCTTCATCAACTATTTAAATACGATTAATCCAGAAAACACTTGTGCAGAAGCACTTCAGGTTTAAATAATGTTTCAGTAGACTAGTGGAATGTACTTGATAAGTGAAATGATATATCATTAAACATTTTAGGTAGGGGGTGATAGTGCTGCAGTTTTGCAGGAAGAAAGAAACCCTTAGTGTAGGAAGAATTCACCTTTCAGAGAATCTCGGCTTTTATCTAACAACTTGTCTACATTTTCCAGCCTATAAAGTTGTGAGGAAAACAATGGAATCAAGAGAAGTGATGAAGGCTGTGTACTTCGTTTCTTACAGCATTTTTCTGTTTGATTTTATCCTTTGCTTTTGAGCCTCAGGCATAATATCACCAAGTTTACATGTAATGACAGCAGACTGCAGTTGGTACAGGCGAGCAGGCCCTGTGTGTGTTCGTGTTGGGGTTTATGTTTTATTCCCCTCCCTAGCTTCTTTCTTCAGAGTCTGAAATGGTCATTTCTGTGTTTCTTGGAAGTACCAAGGCAACCAACTCTGAAGAAAAATTCTTTATATAAATCACCCAATTTTTCCAGAATTGTCTGAACTACCTAATTGAACAACCATGTAGTAAAGCTGGGTGGGATCCAAGCAGAGAGCTGAACCTTGGATTTGCTGGTTTGCTGTATAGAACCTGTGGAGTTAATCCTGGATTACACAATTTATACAATAGAACTGCTTCCCTAATGTTAGGAGGTATTAAGTGTGCTATTCTTATTCCTGGATGCATGACATTCATATCAAATACCGATAGGTAGGGCTTGTCATGAGCGGAGCCAATTGGAGCCAAGGTTCAGACTAGATAGTCTGGGAGGCCCCCTTCTGACTCACTCTTAGTTCTCTTCCATGACAGATGGGTTATGCTCTTCTGCATTGTCACTCTTCTCCCCAGGTGAGGATGGACCCTCACAGATGGCCTTGGAAGATATTGCCATGTTCCGAACCATTCCAGGCTGTACTGTGTTCTATCCAAGTGATGCAGTTGCCACGGAACATGCTGTTTGTCTGGCAGCAAATGCCAAGGTTTGTAGATACTCCAGATTTGGGCCTTAGTTTCATCCATGCTTGTTTAGTAAGACACTGTCATTTTGTGGAGGGGAGTTGCGTCTGCTGTCCTGGACCTGGAAGCAGAAACTCTGGGATCACAATTCTTGTGATTGGCATCCTCCTGTAAGTACATTTGTGTTGCCTGTTGCAAAGCCTCAATAAGGTCATGCAGACTAAGGTTGTAACTGCTGCTAAGGTGGAGGTTATGTGATATGGAATTCAGATCTATATTTCTTGGCCAGAGTTTGGGCTTCTGGGTTGCCAGTATCCAGATGTCACATGGCTCTTCCTCTTGTTTCTACCTAAGAATCCAAGGGAAACTTTGAAAAATTACCTGGAAGCTGCACAGGGATGGAACAAAAGAAACTAAATTTGGGAAAGACTATGGGTTAGGAAATTGGCTGGTCTTAGACTAGATTGCATAAGGACAGTTTATGCAGCTTGGGGATGCTGCTGGACTTGTTGCTGTCTGGTGAGTCACAAGTAGCAGCTGTGACCAGGAGCTTCTTTTATATAAGTTCTGGTTTGTGGGCCAGCAGTAACCCTCTCTCCAGCTGTCAGACCTGGCCTCAAATACCGATACACTCTTTGCCCCCAGGCTAGACTATGCTTTATGTAGGAGGCTCCGGGTCATACAAAATGCAGTTACCTAGATGTAGGGAGGGGACCAGAAAGGGAAAACCTTTGGACTCTGACTCGTCAGCTTGAGACCAACATCTGAAGGACTGCATCCAATATTTGGAAAATATGCAGTCTTATCCCCTATGTTAATATCTGCTTCAGGCGTTCTTGTTGAGTCCTACCTGGTAAGGTTGGCACATAGGAGACAAAGGACTTTCTTGGTGGTGGTTTGAAAATTGTGGAAGCCCCTCCCTGTTGACGTGCACTTCAGCTCTCTACACGCATTCAGGCGAAGCTTAGAAGACCATCCTTTTCAACGCCGATTTTAATCTGAGATTGGAAGAAGCCTACCCTACTGAGAGCAGCCTTGCAACGTTTTCTGTATGATTGCTAGTGCGGCAATTTCTATCTTTTGTTTGTTGTTCTTCCTCTTTGTTGTATGCTCCTCTGTGAGGATATAGCCCTAAAATAATGTAATTTAAAACACTGCTTGAAATAGTGCTCTGCAATTAAGTGTCTTTTCTGCATGACCTCCAGCTTGTGAGTTAGAATTCTGATGTTTACACAGCCTTTGAACCTTAATATGTGGCCTGTTCCCTTCAGAATGTGTGTTACCAAGGGATCTTGATAAGAACTCTGCTATTTTCCTCTTTTTCTGAAATGTGCTTGTTGATCATCAGGGTATATGCTTCATTCGTACCAGCCGGCCAGAGACACCTATCCTGTACTCGCAAGAAGAAAAGTTTGAGATTGGCCATGCCAAGGTAAAGGGTGAATCTCTTCTGCAAGAGAAAGAGTTGAGCACTGACATGCCAATAATAGGATATCTGACTATGCTCTGGCCTTAGAATTAGAGGTACCATCATGTAATACAAGGCACAGAATCCTGATGCAAGGTATTCTGACTCTGGAGCATGGTAGGAAAAGCTTTCTTATTTTGGAACAACAGTCTGTGTGGTCTGGAATGCACTTGAAAAGAAGTGTGACATTAGTGCACTTCTGCTTCCAAGCAAATTGATGTACATAATTCTGAACATGTCCTTAAATGACTTGGATGATAAAGAACACTTGGCCTTGTTTAGTAGATGCTGTGAAGTAGCAGATATCTTGGTGGCCAGACTAGTAGGCCCTCATAGCTAGTAATGATGATCCTATATTTTAGAACCACGACTGTTGGCCAAAGCCCAAAAATCTGTCAGGTCAAAAAGAGTATGCAGGAGTGTATGTGTTATTGATATGCATCAATTTATGCATCAACCACTAGGTGGCAAAAATAGCATGTCATATAACTTTGAAATTACTAAGACAAGCCAGAGGGATTAAAAAGTATTAGGGTCATATGTTCCGTATCACACAGAAGAATGTTAGAATGGGTGTGTTCAGACTGACACTGAAGTAGGCTGTGGTTTAAATTAGGTGGCTTGGGGTGAAACAAAGAGTTTCTCAACCTCTGAGCCAACACAACCTCAGTAAATCTCTTGCTTTTTTGAAAACCCACTACAGCCTTCAACACAAAATTGACCTAGGAAGGAAACATATTAGGGTTTGGTGTCATTTTGTGGCTGTAGCAAGTAAAACTGGAAAGGATCTTGATTTTACCAGCCTAGCTTGTGTGTTGTGCAATCTGTGCATTTTATATGAAGGCCCTTGTATTGGGTGGGAACTATAGAATAAAGACTGCACTACAGATGGTTGCCTATTTAATAGCTGGCCTTGTAACTGTTAAGCAGGCATACCTCTTTTCATATGGGATAGGAACCCAGGGATCCTTTGCATTAGGGAACAGCTGCACCCTGAATGGGCTGTTTGTATCTCTATGGGATGTTCATTTAGCTGGTTACTAGGCTTGTTATCTTGTATAAATGCAGTGTCTCTTCTGTCTTTCACAGATTGTACGTAAGAGTGATTCTGACAAGGTTACAGTTATTGGAGCAGGTGTCACTCTTCATGAGGCTCTTGCAGCTGCAGATGAGCTGGCCAAACAAGGTAATAGAATACTGAAACCTTGGAGGCTGTGGAGGGCAGGATGTTGATCCTCTTCAGCCCCATTTGCCCTGCAGTTCTGTGCTTTGTTTTTCCCCATGAACTGTTTGCTTTCTGTTAGGCATCCATATCCGAGTAATTGACCCCTTCACAATCAAACCCTTGGATGCTGACACCATCATCTCCAGTGCTAGAGCTACTGGGGGCCGTATCATCACTGTTGAGGATCACTACAAAGAAGGTGAGCAGCTAACTTAATCTGGTTGTTTCAGACATGTCTGGGGAAAACTACCTGTGGCTTGGTAACTGTAGCACAGGATGATGTTTGTGAAGGCAACCTATCCCAATAAATTCTGGCCCTTCCTGTCTAGGACTGAAGCCTCCTTTTCTCAAGGCTGGCCTGCTGAGCAAACTAGTTGCATGCTTGCATCTTTAGTCAACTCCAAGGGAGTATGTGGCTAAGGAGGCCACATTGTTCAGTCAGAAGAGGCAAGCTCTTTGAATTCCTTGTGAATTTTGGGAGGTGAGCAGGAGGACAAACAATTTTACATAACTTGTACAAAGATGGAAATTGGAAGTATAAATGCTTCTGGAAGGCACAAACATATTAGCTGACAGATGAGTAAATTGGAAGCCTACCTATTTTGTCTTTGCTGCTCAGCAACGTTGTATGAAAATGTTGAATGAACCACACTCTGGAAAATGTTAAATGAATTAAGCACACTCTGGAACAGTATTCTAGTTGAAACTGTCTGCTGTTTTTCTCCCTCTAGGAGGTATAGGTGAAGCTGTGGCAGCAGCTGTCTCAGGAGAACCTGGCATTTTAGTCCAGAGCCTGGCTGTGTCAGGGGTGCCCCGGAGTGGAAAACCAGCTTGCCTCCTAGATATGTTTGGGATCAGTGCAAAGAGCATCATAGCAGCTGTGAAGAGCACCTTTGCCAATTGATAGTGTCTGGTTTGCAGATGATGGGAGGGAACACCGAGCTATAAAAATGAATTTCTGAAGAGCAGAGATGGCAACTGCTTGGTTTTCTGGTAGTGAAACTCATAAAATACTCCTTATGATTCCCAAACACTGCTTTCAATTTTGACAAATGCCACTAACATTTCCTCATTTGCATTCTGAGTACAAGTGAAGCATTAAAAATGGACCAAGTTACAATTTGTCCATTCCCCATTCATCATTAAGCCATTCTGCTTATTCATAAACTACTTGCAGATTACTGAAAACCTGGAAACTGTACATGGACCAAATAGTGTTTGTCTTACCTGAATCTGCTGACACCTATTCCTGTGCCTGTTCTGCCCTACTCGCCTTTCCTCTCTCAGGCCTGACATTCCAGGGCCATGTTGAGTAGATTTTTCCTGGTTGTTTCCTACAGAATGTATTGATACATAATTAGTTTTTGCCTGCAGAAGTGCAGCTGGCTCTCACAAATGGCTGTGGCCTAACATTCTTGTAATATTTACATCACTGACATAGTTGAAATTGGTCATATTCAATGTAACTTTTCCTGAATGATGTGTAGTGTAACTGCTGTTAACAGTTCATTCAGCAAATCAATAAACAAGAAGTTTTCTTCAACTGTTAGCTCTTCAGATGACATGTATCTTTGTAGCTACGAAGAGGCAGCAAAATGGGCAGAAGTGAAACTAGTTACGGAGTATGTATGATATACTGGATACATATATGTGCACAGACATCCATATCATACACAGAACAAGATGCTACATAGAAAACTACTGCCCATTTTGAGGTTTTCTTCACTCTGTAATGTGTAATAAAATCAGCCATGTTCAGACAGCATCATGCTCATCTTATTATTGTTGTTGGCAGGGAAAGACAAACATGGTACTACCTGGACAAAGAAACATTTTAAACAGAAAATAATGATCATGTCATGGGGTTGCCCCATGTGTTTTGGTAACATCTAGTTATGCCTGAATTCTCATCTGTTACAGAAAGCAACTGCTACTACTAGTTGTCTTTACCTATCCTAGAACTCTTCAGCAAGTGAGGAAGAAGTAACCAAACCAAAAAAAGTAGGGAGTTGCCAGGAGGAAAAGAAGTGGCTGATGTTCAGTGGAGTCTACATTTAAGACAGACAGTGGAAGGTGGCTGTAGATACTTGTTTAAAAAATCTGGCTACTGCTTAAAACTGTCTCTGTCCTTGGGTGAAACACAAACTAGATAGTTGTTATTGTAAAAAAAAAAAAAATTTAGACAGCATGCCAAGTTTTTTTTTAAAAAGTGGAAGTCACTTGATCCAGCAGTTGAAGATGATGCAACCTCAGAGAATGAAGTTCTGACTACCAATAGTGTAAGAGATGTACAATGTTCTTAGCCATGAGGAAACTATGAGAGACTGGTTCAGGGGTCAAGGGCAGCACAGTTATGCAAGTGGACACACACACCAGTGATCCTGATACAGATCACACCTCACAGTAGGAAAGAAAAATGTGTATGATGCTTGCTTTTGTTCACCTCTTTGCTCTATGATCCTGATCGAAAATGCTGCTTTCCAGTCTGTTAAGATTAAGTGACAACAGGGTGGGTCAGAGCACTCTTGGAGCCTGCAGGCTGTACACCCCTGTGTAAGATCACCTTCCTCCAGTGTGCAATCCTGTTGTTGAATGGCTAAATGTGGCATGGGGCAGGCCACAGAAAAAGGAAGAATAGAATTTTGAATAACAGAATTCTACATTTTCAAAAATGGGAGTACCAATCATTGTTTCATTTTGTAACCTTTGAGTTGGTTCAATAAGGTATTCCAATGATATGAAATGTAGACATTTTCTTCTTGAAATTTTATTTGGGGTAGAATTGCTAAATTTGCTTTTTGTAAATTCTGTCATATTGGTGGGGTGGGGTGGGGATTAAGATTGCAGAAAGGGGGGGGGAGTATCAGGCATACTGTAGCTTTGGCCTGGGCAGCTAGCAAATTGATCAAAACACAAAACACAAAATGTCCTCTTAAAGTTTGAAGGCTCTAATAGTTGCTTAATCTTTTACAGATAGTTGGTTTTTATTGTCAGAACCTTTGAATTTTCTATACAATAGTGAATTTTAGATTAAATGGAACATTGACCTCTGCACAATAGAAAGCACATTTGAAGGCTTACTTTTTAAATCAGAATTCATTATCGTATAACCTGATTCTATGCATATTTACTTAAAAGTAAATATTACTGTAGTCACTGACTTAGGTCAAATTGAAGTGATGTAGGAGATCTGTAAGTAAATCAACAGTTTTTCATCTGTAAAACTGATTGGGTGTTTCAGTTTTGATTGCAGTAGATCATGTTTAACCCTGGATCCACATGTAATTTCCTTTATTTAAATAAAGATATGACACTATAAAGGAAACCACAACCTTGAGTTTACAAGAGCTGAGCAGAGCTGTTTTCAGTCAGAGGGTCACCATATGTTGGAAATGACAGCACAAAACAAAATTCTCTCAGACCCATCCAAAGCTTTCATCCAGCAAAGTTGCCATTAATTTTGCTAAGGAAAAAATAAATGTGATACAAGTACCATATACGAGTATTTTTCTGCTGCTAGCCTAAAAACTTTTGATGGGGAGAAGGAGAGGCCAGATCCAGGAAACAATGGAGCAGAGGGAGGAAAGGGTTAAATAATTACCACTGATTTTTACATTTCCTTGTGGTCTCTGTAAAGTGGGGTGGGGGAGTCAGATTTAATCATATCTGCATCATGACTCCTTTGGCTCCAAGTTTGCCTATAAATACATGCTTGGTGGGATTAATGGCAACCTACTAGTGCTCTGGGGCTGCGGGTGGTGCTGTGGTTTAAACTGCTGAGCTGCTTGGCTGGATGATCGAAAGGTTGACAGTTCGAATTTGCACACAGGGTGAACTCCCGTGCTTTGTCCCGGGTCCTGCCACCCTTGCAGTTTGAAAGCATACAAATGCAAGTAGATAAATAGGTACCACTTCGGTGGGAAGGTAACAGTGTTCCATGTACCTCAGTGTTTAATCATGCCAGCCACGTAACCACAGAAACTGCGGACAAACGCTGGCTCCCTTGGCTAGGAAACAGAGATGAGCACCATCCCCAAGAGTCAGACATGACTGGACTTTAATGTCATGGAGAAACCTTTACTAGTGCTCTGGAAATTATTACTTCCCTATGAATGCACTCCAAACTGTCTAAGCATTTAATTGAAGCTTCCATGGGTCTTCTCAAGCACTGTTATAAGAACTGTAGTAGGATCCTTGGTGGATGTTTTATGTGCTCAGGGACAAGGTGTCTGTCCTGTTAGATCCCTATCTTTTTATCTAAGTCACTTTTGAGGAAGCTCAGTACAAACAAATAGGTTTTCAAGACCTCCACTAACACTAAATATTAGGACCAAACTAGCTGCTGATGTTAAACGTATCTATGCAAGTAGTAGTCTGGCTGATACAATTATCAGGATCACAGCAGAATAGGAGTTCAATCTTTTACTCCTTTTAGGCAGTTACCAGAAGGTTAACCATGTTTGTTGCAGCAACAAATGAGTACATCCTATTAATTAGTAAATCTTGTTAAACTCAGTGGAATTTACTTTGGAGTAAACATGCATGGAATCTGGCTAAGAGAGAATGACCTTGGTACAATAACCTAATAGGAATTAATTGGTTAAACCTTTCATTGCCACAGGACTCTATGCTGTACTTTTAAACTGGTGTTTGCATTCAGAGAAAATACCTCATAGCTGCAATGATTGGTCTCTCTTAGCCTCACTCTCAATGTAAAGGATTCCCTCCAAAAGTTACTGCTACAAATTTCATCAAAGTCAATCAAGATAGAGATTAGTCATATATAGCTTAGTCCATTGCTTTTGATGTAGGACAAGTGTGACTAGCTTTCTCTAAGCTAGTTATAATTTTACAAATAGATGTTATGTATCTATTTTGCAAGAAACATTGTTTTGCAGTAGTAGGCTATCTTTTGCAAAGCTTAACAATCGTAATTGCTTAAGAAACCTAGAAAGAAAGCTGCTGGCAAAACACAACAACCCCCCCATGGCGGGTTGCTGTGTTCCCCAAACTCAAAATACTTCCCAGTTTTGGTTGATGTTTCAGCAACAAGCCACCTTGACAACCTGTAGCTTTTTCTAAGGATTCTTTGACCCACAGTGGGTTGCTGTGCCATCTGAACCTCAAACAGCTATTTCTGGATTAGTTAGTGGCAAGAGCAGCAAAACCCCCATTCAGCTCTTGAAAACCTCATGCTTGCTGCTGCTGGTTATAGCCCTTCCATTGATGTCCAAGCGGCACTTTAGAGCAGGCATCAGGGGTTTGCTCCTTGAACAGCAATTGGCCCTTGAAAATCGCACTGTTGTGTCTGTAATTTTTGTTCTTGATCTTTTCCAAATGTGCTCCTATGGTGGACTTGCCTAGTCAATTTCTGAATTTGTTTCAGCTGCCAAAAGGAACAGGAAAGTGGAGTAACAAATCTACAAGTTGAAACTGTATATAGGCTAATTGGTGCAATGTTGCCAGGGGCCAATTGCCTAGCTGCCAATTGACAAACAGTGGTAAGAGAAAAAAAGCAGCAAAACTAGGTTCACCAAAAGGAGCGGCGGGGAGAGTATTATCAATTAGCAGTATAATTCTGTCTTTCAGCTTCTCAACACTTCCCAGAGTTGGAGATTCCAATGCCCTCCAACACTAGAAAGGGAAGATAATCCCCCCCCCACATGCACAGCCTTTTCACAACTCCTTTTTGTAGCACTAACTATGGTTCTCCCACAAGTGTGCAAATTTCCTCTTTTCCTAGCCATCAATTCTGTGTAAATTTTTGTCTCAGTGAGGTTCCCTGGCAGTTCAAAATTACAATAACTATGGCAGCTTGAGAAGGTAGCCCTGAAGTCCTTTAAAAAATGTTGCTAGTCATCTAGATGTGGGCAACCTGTTCCCATAATAAAACAGATGGACTTTCAAGATCCCTGCCTACTGTAACTTTCTTTTTTATTGATCTGCCAGATACCACACATGTAGAGTTTATATACTGGTCGTCTGTGTGCGGGGTGGAATTGTTAGGGCATAATCCTATTCTTGTTTAAACAGGAAAAAAGCCTACCTCTCCCCACTCAGTATAGCTGCCTAGAGGGATACTAGGAGTTGTAGGACTTTTTTCTACAACTCAGTAAGCAACCCAACTCTAGCTTTTGTTCTCAACCCTTTTGGAAACTAAGCTTAAGTGCACAGAACGTAAAGATTCAGTTGAATCATGTCCTTTTCCCTCTTTGGGTTCCCTCTCCCCTGCTAATAGTTAGATTGTAAGCTTCACAGGAAAGGAACTTGACAAATCAGAATGCACAATGCTTGCAAATTAGTCTAGCATCTTCTTAAAGATGAACAAACTTACTGTAGCAGAGGCAGTCACAGGCCTGTTTCATTTGCAGTTGAGTATTATGCCGCTTCAGGTAATCTCAGCTAACAGTCCACAGAAGCCTAGGGTGCTATACATTTGTTAATTCACAAAGCTGTTTGCTATAACAAAGTAGCCCATGTGGAAAATGCACATTAAAGGAACAATTCTATATAAGTTCAAACAGGAAATAAGGCTCATAACTTCCAGCAAGACCTAGCCAGGTGGGGCACACTGAATGGTGAGTCTTTTTCCCTGTCTCAGCTAGCACAGACTTGCACCCAAAGGAACTTAAGACTAACAATATAGATATTACTATTAACCATCACAGCAGTCCTAAAGTAACTCGCTCCACATATATGTCTCAAGGGAGGGATATTTTGTTGACTTTTTCCTTTGATCTTGCCATCGGCCACTGAGTGTGTGCAAAATATCAAGAGGATCCCCATTCACATTAATAGAACCACTGCTTTATCTGGGGAAAGATTATGTTTATCTTAACGTCACTATCACATTTTCTCAAATCCCGCCTGCCTCACCTTTCACAGATTTTGGAGGGCAGGCAGCAGGTTGAGTTCTAAGACAAATTTCGGAAATTAATAATTAACATTGCATGGTTATTGGCCGAGATGTATGTCAGTCAATCTATATCCCTACCCTCTCTGTCGACCGTTAAAGAGGAAGAAGCCAGAGGGTAGGAGTAGGCGTTGATAGGCGGGGCAAGAGCATTCCGTTAGCTGGGAGGCGCGGCCTGCAAGAATCCCGCCAAACAGAAGACGGAGGGGCGTGGTTTGAGAAGACGACTGCGAAGGCGTGTCCTGCGAACTTCTTTAGCCTATCAGAGAAGGGAATGAACGTTCTGTGCAAAAGCTGGCCAACTAGAATTGTAGTGCGTAAGATCGGGTACCTGAAAAGGCCAATCAAATATTTCCTTTTCTTTTTCTCAGCCATAATAGATATGACGGCATCTTTTTTTAGGCGCGCGAGGAAGTTCAAACGTCCGGGGAGGGGGAAAGAGCGGCGCTCATAAAAGCGAGGGTGGGGGGGAGGGAGAATGAGAAGGATGAATCATAGGTTGGTGGCGGTGCCTGGCACGGTCAGTCCCTGGAGCTTCCTGCTTGACGCCAGCGGCGCGAAGAAAGGTCTGCCTCTGTGAACTTTATGGGTGGGGAAAAAACCGCTCAGACACCGCCCGAGTGGAAAACACTTTCTGTTCTGACAGAATAAGTTTCTAGGATATTCAGTTCCCGCTCTATGGGCTGCAATTATTGGAGTAGGCTTACCACGCCCCTTTTTGAAAGACAAGGTGAGGCTAAGATTTTGGCGCGGTCGGGTTTGGGTGTAAAGATTACAGAGTGGAAATCGCTGCCGTTGTCGAATTTGAGCTCCACCTGCAAGAGCGAAAGCTCCAGTACCTATTTTCTAATCGACCTAAATTAAATCCAAAAGTTAGGGGCTCAGGCAGGACGCTAGAGCAGAGTTCCAGGTCTACCAGACCAGGAAGCGCTTCCCCAACAACAGGATACCTTCCTTGCTGCAGCAGCATCTGCGGGGAAGAGCTGGTTCTTATATAGCTCTTCCCCAGGGCTCTCCAGGTGGGACTCATGAGAGCCCTGGCAGCTGCCGTGGGCTGAGGCCAGAATCCTGCAACTACCAGAGCAGCTCCGCCGGCCCTTGGCCAGCAGAAGGAGCGCTGAAGCTGCCTCAGACCCCCACACCCAACCTAGTTGTAGACCTAGATAGACCTCTACTCCCTGTTGTTCATCCAGATTTGAGTGGCTTAACCCTGAGCTGAAATTTGGGGCTTCTGGAGAGCGTAGCTAGGCAGAACATGTAAAATTAGTAAGGTCATACTCCTATGCATGTTAAGGCAGAAAGGTCCTGGGAGTTGTAGGACTCTTCTCTGTCTCATCACTCATGGGACTGCAGTTTAAATGTTCTTCCTGGATTGTGAACAGAGGATTAGGTCACCTCCCCAACTTTTTCAGTGGCACTACTTCACATCCTTTTCTCAAATGGGCCACTTGAACTTCTCACTCTTGGCAATATTTCACCTGTATTGTCACACCAAGTATGCTTCTCTGTGTGTGCTGGGCCACTTGTATATAATTTGGAAATGCCAATAATTAGCCTGGGGTGGGGGACTGCCACCGCCACAATACCATATATACAGAATGATGGGCTTGAAGTACTGTTAAACCTATCATGTAAGGCTGAAACCAATCATGACGGGCTTGAAGTACTGTTAAGCCAATCATGTAAGGCTATGCAGGATGCTGACCTGCTTGTCTTCAGTCTATTTATTAGTAATTTGGGACCTATTGGTAGTGTGAAGAAAGAGCCAGATATTAAGTAAGCAATACTTATTTTCTAAGTGAGTGGCTATTTACTAGCCCATTTGATGTAATTTCTTTGTGAGCTACTTTGAAACTCTGTTAAAGGATTGCATAGCAAGGTTATAAAATAAAAAAGCATGGACATTGAGGGTAAAGCTTCTAGCTTAGAACAGTTTAAGTTTATGCATTTGTCTGGTCAAAAAACTGAGAATGGTTGTGTCATGAAACATTGACACTTTATGAAAATGGTAAAGACACTTCTGCAAATTAAAAAAGTTAGTTGAAGAACAGTTATGCAATGACATTTAGTTGTGTTTTGGGGGTCTTTGTATTCTATTGTTTCCAGCTATTTCAGACAGTTTTTAAAATTTTGTAGATTTAAAGTTTTATATTTTACCATGCCATATTTTAGGGTTTTAATTTTTATAAACCATCCAGAGCAATGTAACTAATGAATGAATTTATTATGCTGTTCTGTCAACAAGCTTAGGGTTACAATATGATATATGTAGTTCTCTCTTTTTTCAACAGCTCTGTGAGGAGGTTTGGTAGTATATGCCTGGCCCAGCATCATCTAGCTAACCTCATGGTTGAGGAGGGATTTGAACCTGGCTCTCCCTGCTTCTTGTCTGATACTGCACCACACCATGGGCTTTGCCCAGTGATTGTTTTTATTCTTCTTTGAAAATACCTGCAATCCTAGCAAGTTGACATTGGAGAAGCTCCACTTTGCTGCTACATTTGCTTCTAACTGTTGTAGGGGGTAGGGGAAAGCTGGGCTTTCACATCTGTGGTTACAAATGACACCATAATTAGCTGCCAAGTCTTGTTCAAACCATTGCTTCTGGGATAGAAAGTTCTGAACAAGGTGGGACCAAGTTGCCTGGTGGATCACCTTCCCTGATAATAGTCCTTTTCAAGCACTTAGGTGATCAGAGGAGGCCTTGCTAGTTGTACTGAAACCTTGCAGCCTGCAATCTGGTGGCAACACAGAAACATGACTTTTTATGGCATTATCAACTTTGTGAAATGCCTCCCCCTTGTATGCAGGAGGAGCCAACTGTAGCAAGGTTGAGTTATCAGTTAAAGAACCAGCTTTTCATCCAGGTGTTGCCTGACGGATTGTGCTTCTCAGGCTATTTATTGTTACTTCCCAGATTTTAAACATTTTAACTGAGGAGATATATCTAGGAAAGGTCGAAGGCAGCTATAAGACAGATTGATTCCATAAAAGAAGCCCCAGTCTTGAGTTTACAGATTAACAGATTTCGTCCCTTTGTATGTGTGTGCTTGTGTGTATCAGGGACTCAAAACAATGAGGTCTACAGGAACTGTAATGTGTACAGACAGTGATCCTGACTTTAGCATCAACAAGAGGTTGAGTGATGAGTAGACTGACACATGTAATTTGAAAAAACATTTAAAAAAAACTACAAGAAATAGAGATTAATCTTTTGATTGTACTTTTAGTAACTCCATGTTGATGTCTGTCTGTATATATTTATATTCCACCTTTTTTCTTTCAAGGAACTCAAGGCAACCTTCAGAATTCTTTTCCTATCCTCACAACAACAAGCTTGTGAGGTAGGTTGGGCTGAGAGTCTGTGACTGGCCCAAAGTCACCCAGTTAGCTCCATGCTGAGTAGAGTCTGAAACCTAGATCCCCTGAGTCCTGGTCCGTGCTGTTTGTTCAAGAATGGCCATCTTAAGGGCACTGACTAGAAATTTCTGACAGGATGAATATTCTTCAGTATTGACATGTTCTGTCTGTTGTCAGACTTGTATACACTTACGCGTTTGCACAGAGGCTGCACTGTTTAGATTACAGTAAGGCATTGATATATAAAATCATGCTGGCAAGTGATCAGTTATGTGGCCCACTAATGCTGTGGATGGCAACACTGGGTGTTGTAATGTTACCAGAGCAGATAGGGGACAGAATTGGCATCATATTATGTATAAAGCTTGGTAATTGCTACTTTATTTCTGTTTCCTGTGACCTCACTATTTACAATCTTGCCACCCTCAAGAATATCTATTTCATCAGATGCTTGAAGGATTAACCCTAGTCTGCCAGCTTGAGGCTACCCCTTCAAGCATTTGATGCACAATGTCTTCCAAAACTTAGGTCATAATGTATTTCTCTTTAAGTTGCCAGAAAGATGCCTTGGTTTTGCTGCAGTTTGGCTCTCGGCACTAATAAGCTACTGGTCCAAGAGAAGGTACTAGTGTTTCTTAATCCATGAAGCCCTCAAGCAACCTCAGTCCCAACATTACTGACTGCAACAGTAAACAGGGAAGTAGGTGAAGTCTTTAAGTAACAGTTTCTGCCATGTACTAACAAGCAGAGGTGTGCTTGGATGTTTTCTCAGTGGCTGCTGCACAGCTCTGAGTTCCTTTTGAGGAGTCTATCAAGACCTGAGTCTTGTCCAAAAACACTGAAAGATAATTGTATTTAGCCACATATTTTGTGGCCCATATGAGTAAAGGAACTGTTACTACATGTAATTTAAAAGTAGTCTAAAGTTGCCTCTTTGTGTGATTCTATCTGTTGATTTGACTTGCTTTTAGCCATCCTTTGTTACACCGTAGTCCTGGAAGAAAGTGTGGGCTACAAGCATACTGGACAATAATACATTAAAGGCTGTGATTTTTTTGTGTTCAAATGTTTGGGAGAATAGGGTCTAGTTGTTATTTTTGATTATAAATTCTTTCTAATAATGGCCTTCTAAGTGGGGTTGCCTGCTGAGGCAATGGATAAATATTTCCACTTTGTAAGTATTTCATGCCTACACTTTCCTGCGAGAAGTCTCTCAAAGCGGTAATTCTTTGTTCACTCCTAAAGTTAGAGAAAGGCTTGATGTATGTCATGGTGGCGTTGACCAGAGTGGCAGGGAAAAGCCCACTGTTTCATTGCTGTAACTTCTACAGCATATTACAACTCCCATAATGTTGAGCATTTGCCAAGCTGGCTGGGGCTGTAGGGGGCCAGAGTCCAAAACATGAGGAGGTCAACACATGGCCTATTCATGCTGTGAGCCCACAAACAAAATTTTGCCTTTCTGTATCAGATAGTTTGATCAGGCTTGCCTAGAGAACATGGTTGTAGTTTCAGTATGGGGTGGTACAGAAATAAAATGAATGACTAATAATGGTTGCTGCTGCATCTTGAGTGGTGACTGGAGGATGCACCAAAGGTCAATGCATCTGAAGCACTAGTAGAACATGTGGGTTTGGAGTAAGCTGCATAGGGATCCTGCTCATGGGATTTCAGAGGACTGACTGCCAGCTCTGGTCATGGAAATTCCTCCTTTTGTCAGAGGGGCTTTCCCCTTGCTTTCACCCACAGTTCCCTGTCTATTGATCTTCCTCTGTCATTGACCAGGGGCAGAATACCAGCAGTCTCCATGGCCCAGGATCCAGTGAAGCTGCAAGCAGAGGTGGAAAGGCTGGTGGCTGAGTTGCAGGAGGCAACCCAAGAGAAGGTCCAAGCAGCCCAATATGGATTGGCTGTACTGGAGAAGAATGGTGAGCTCAAGCAGCGCTGTGGAGAACTGGAGGGCCAGTTAGAGGTGCTGCGCCTAGAGCTGGTCCACATGAAGGAGGTGAGTGGAGGATCTTGCCTTGGACACAGATTCCTTTAGTGCATGCTCAGCTTTGCCATAATCTCCTGTGTCTTCTGTCATGCCCAGGCTTTGGCAGACTCCCACAGTAGTCACAAACGGGCAGCAGCTGATGGAGAGAGCCGAGAAGAATGTCTGCTCAGAGAAACAGCTTCCAAAGAGGCCTACCTAACTCAGACCATAGAGGAGCTGCAGGGTGATGTGAAGCACCTGAGAGCACAGCTGGACAACACAATGGTGGAAAATGAGCGCCTGGGAGGGGCCCTGCAGGACTTGAGGAAGGTAACATGTTCCAGTGACAAAGTTGGGGCCCTAGGCCATTCCATAACCCTGCCAGATTGGTTCTATAGGGAAGACTCCAACATACAAGGTGTAAAAGTGCTATGGTGTATCGAGTTCTCTACAAGCTGCAGCAACTACATGTGGTTTACATATTAAACAGATGTCGACAATAAAATAAATGGTTTGCAGGGTGATTATTAGAAATCCGAACTCATTTAAGTCTATTGTAGATTTCCCTAACTTCCCTAGCTGGGAGACCACTATAAAATTAGCTTTGGTAATCAGCCAGCCAAAATGCATGGGCCTTCATTGGGTAATCCAGAAGGATAAACAGAGCAAGAATGGTTATACTGACTGTGGGGTGGGTAAGCTCAGAGGTACTCTAAAAGAGATCTGTCTTTTGAGGGGTGGACTGTCTCTTAGCTGTATGCCAAGGTAGGGAGCTCTCCCTTGAGCAGGTAGCAGTACGTGAAGATTCTGGTGATTGCTTCTTGCAGCTGGTTCTCTCTGGTGCCTACTCTGTACCCCTTCTCCAGGGCAGGGATGACTAACCTGTATTTTCACAGTCCTGTCCAGAAGTATGTGTGATATTTGTTCATGTTGTTGAATAAGGCGAGCCCCCCCCCCCCCCCCACGAGTAACCAGGCTTTATAATCAAGTTGACACTATCTTCATGAAGCCTGCAGCTGTGGCACCTGTGTGCTCAACTGCATGTTGAGGCACTGCATCCTCAAATTTAATGTAAAATAGACAAGGTTTTTGAATCACACTGTTAAAACAGTGTGGACAAGATAACAGAATTCTGTCCCTGTATTACACAGTGTATGGCAAGCACATTCTTGTCCAGCTCGTTCTCGCTGAAATGCAGTGCAGCTGGTGGCTTGTGTTCCCATTTCTTTTCTGCCTCTTTTTCAGGAATGCCAGACCTTGGAGTCCGAAAAGGTCCGGCTGCGTGAGGAGATGAAACAGGCCAGGACGCGAGAGTTGCGCCAGCTGCAGGACTGTGCTGAACTTGAAGAGGAGAACATCTCCCTGCAGAAGCAGGTCTCCATGCTTAGGGGCAGTCAGGTATTGTTCTTGTGTGATCTTCCATGTACTCATCTTGGGGGTTTGGCGCCGCTCTGGTGGACCTGATGTGGAATGTGCAGGGAGTCACATTGCTCCAAACTGACGTTCCTCAGCCTGGGGTTCTCCAGAACTCTGGCCTGCAGGTCCCAGCATTGCTGGCTACAGGCCATGATGGCTGCCACTGATGCAAGTTGAAATCCAAAGCAGTTGGTAGCACCTTGCCTGGGGAGGCTGTTCTGCAGCTATTTGCTGGGTTCTGCGTGCCAATGCCATAATTTCATCTTTAGTCTCGTCTCTGTGGGTAGAAAGAGAATGCTCAAAACAAATGTCTGTGCACAGGAATGATTTTATTGTTTTTATGTAAACTGTGGAAGGGGCCCACAAAGAAGCATGGAGGAATTGGGAGATGAACAAGGATGGCCTTTTCCTTTTGCAGCAGCATGAGTCTGTTGAGCTCCAGGTCTTAGATTAACCATTTCATGCTCGCTCACGTCTGAACCTCAGAGGAATAACACTATGGTTCAATAGCCCTTAGAGCACAGACTTGTGAGCTCTAGTCTAGGTGTCCAAGAACCTGTTGGTCTAACCCTGTACCTGAGCAGGGGGTGATTTGGCCACCTCTTTGCTGTGCTGCATATTATTATTAAATGGTTGCACTTGTATTTCCACCCTCTGTTTGGAGATACTTTCCGCTGCTAGAGCCTAAATGGGTAACTGGGAAGTCTCCACTGCTCCCACTGCCTCACTGGCTCCACATTTTAAAAATAAAAATAGTGTCTGTAGCAGCTAAGGAGGGGAGGCCTTATAAACACTTTAATCCGAACAAAAGAATCCCATCCCCCAGTTTCTAGAGTGGTGGGAAATGTGTGTGGCCTCCCCCACTCCCAGCCACTCCTTCCTTCTCTTTCCCCCTGCCCTGAGGGAATGTTAAAGAGTTCTGTGGCTGGAGAAGAACAGCAAGCACCCACCCTTCTTGTTGCCTTCTTGCTTGTTTTTTGGTAATGTAAGCTAATCTTTCGGCATACTTGAAGAGCTTTCCAAGTATGTAGAATTCCCTCCCTTGGTCTGCCAGTGGCCCCATTTGGCTGCTAAGTTCAAGTACATCAGAAGCTGCTATTACTAAATAAGATGCACATATGGTTTTACTTGACTATAGGAAAGAATAACTGCTCACAAGGCAAAAACAAGCCCAAATAAAATGGATATGATAGTGATATTTTATTACATCTTAAGTACAAGTTGCACTTCCCCCATCCTCAAATCCAGATAGGGTCTCAGCTGTTAAGATATTTTTATTCCACAATCTTTTATCTTGTTACTAAGAGTTCATCTGACTGTGGATCACTTGAGGAAATGAAACCTCATACAGCTGATGCTACCACAGATGTCTGTTTGACATCTTTCCAATAAGGGGATGTGGTATAAGACTATCAGTAATTTTTTAAGAATGGCAGGAATTGTTTATCTGTTTACTTGTTAAACTGATACGCTGCCTTCTTTCCCCAATATGGTTTATGTAATCCTTTTGCTTTTCTCCATTTTATCCTTGCAACTGCCCCATGAGAGAGGTTAGTCTGGGGGTCAAGGACTGGCCCAAAGTCAGCTGGTGATCTTCATGGCTGAATAGGAACTAGAACCCAGGTCTCCTGAGTCTCAGTCCAACCCCCTAATCACTGCACCACACTGGGTTCTAGCCAGTTATTGGTAAGAAGGGAAAAAGAGCAGGGGAACTGATACCATTTTCAAACATAGGAAAGTGGAAGGTGGCCCAAAAACGTTCATGGTTTAGAAGTGGCCTTTTGAACCTGCAAAAGATGCAAGCCCTACAGCTTCAGTTTAACTCCTGTGGGGAGGCAGGACCTGTGAGGAAGGGTTCACCTCCCTGCAGTGAACCTCTGTCTTGTCTCCAGGTGGAGTTTGAGAGTGTCAAGCGTGCACTGAGCTGCCAGGAGGAAGAATTGGCGCTGGCTGGGACCCAACTGCTGGAACTGGGCCGTCTCCGCGAACTGGCAGAGCACCAGCTCCACGAGGCACTGGAGGCTCTGCAGGCAGAGCGTGAGCAGAAGCAGGAGCTACGGCGGGAGCTGGCTCTCTACACTGGAGGGCGCCGTGACTCACTCAGCAGCTTGCAGGCCAACCTGGAGGGACTCAGCCACAGCCATGCTGAATGCGAGGAGCAGGATAGCGGCTTTGCCAATGGCGGCAGCGTGGCTTCCACACCCCATGGTGTCCGGCCTGCCCCAGGCCTTGTGGCAGACCTCTTCAGTGAGCTCAGCTTGGCAGAGTTTCACAAACTGCAGCAGCAGCTGCTACAGGTGAGGATGGATGGAGACTCCCAGTTCAGCAGGGAGAGGTTATGTTTCAAAGCCATGTCAGTAGCAAGGCTAACTGCATTCTGGTTAGACAGGAACAAACTGTTCTGCGCTTTGGTCTAATGCCAAGTAATTGGATTATTTTTTTTGTTATTATTCACTAAGCTAGGCTTCCCAGTCAGAGAGCTTGTTTCAGAGACCTTGTACATACCACTACCCCAAATGCCTTTGCCCCAGAGGGGTTCAGATCACTTTAAGACCAGTAGTCCCATGTGATGCATCTGTTGCCTGCCTCAGCTGCTTCAGATGAAGGAAGTGAATCTTTGACTGCTCTGTGGTAGAAACCCAAAGCTACTATACTGGAGAGAAAGCTCTAATGAAGGGTTCTTTCTGACATGTTTAGCTTGAATGAGCAGGGACTTACACAAAGAAGGCTTCAAACCAGATGGAGTCCACACATCTTGCATTATTTTAGCAACCAGCTGCTGTGTTTATATCATCGCTGCTGGGTAGTTGCTTTCTCCCGTCGGGTTGGACTTGAGGTAGAAATGCTGCTGCTCCTTTTACAAAGCACCATGTGGTGAGGCGAGATCCTATGCAATTCCTCCCCTTCATGCCTGGAGTTTCATGGTGAGGGAAGTATTTATTTATTTATTTATTTGTTTGTTTAAAAATTTCTATGCCGCCCTATTCGCTGAAGCCTCGGGGCGGTTGGGGGAATCTGCAGTGAACTCAAATAACTTTCAGTTTGTAAGAATCCAGCCTGTAGATTCCACAGTGGGTCAGCTTTTCCTGAGTTGCATGGATTCCAAGATTTGCTGAACATTTTTAATGTTCCTAATTTTCTGCAGATTTCATCCTAGGAAAATACAAAGCTCCAGCCAAACCTCTGCATTTCCTCCACAGGCTTAAGTGTGAAAATACCCATTTTTCAAGGCTTTGCCTATTTGGAAGGGGGATTTACAAATGTGCTTATGAGCAGATTTGCACAAAATCAGATTCTGGCAATAAGCAGATGAACAAAAGCTGCATGATAATCTGCAAAAGATAGATGAAATAGTTTCACAGTGCCCATTCATCCCTGCTGATGGCTACATGCAGGTAACTTGGGCAGGGACCAATTTGTTTATTGCATGATTTCTGTCTTACCTAGTACTTGGCTATGGCCTGAATCCAAATTCAAGTGTGAGCAACTGTGCTGATAGTAGCAAACTTCCCGACCCACTCCTTCCCTTTGCCATCCCCCCTGAAAATACCACATGAGGGAGTCGGAAGATGCTACTGAAGGGGGTGAGGATGAGAGGTCTCAATCAGGCAGGGGAACTTTCTGTGGGCTGAGACCTTCCCCTCATGGAAGGCAGATCTTGGATCCAGCCCAAGGTCTATAAAAATACGTGTGCATTCATTCTCTTCCCTCACCCTGGGAGAGGACTTGGGAAGTGGGTCGCTTGTTCCCCACAGAACCTTCTCTTTCTCATCCTTCAAGGATATGGGGATGGGAGTTCTTTGTACTTGTTCTATGCCAGAGATTTATTTATTTTTTATTTATTTTATTAAAACATTTTTATGCCGCCCCGAGGCTTCGGCGAATGGGGCGGCATACAACAAAAAATTTAAAATAACATTTTAAAATATATACAATAAAATACAAATATACACTATAAAACAAGCCGCCCTGGCCAAATAAAATTCAATAATATTAACATTTAAAATACTGCTTAAATAAAAAGAGATGTGGGCCCCTGCCACTGAGGTCTGTCGAATCTTGGTTCACAGTCTGTAATTTTGAGGAATCTGTTCCAAATCAGATAGTGTCCCCTAGAAATGCTGGCTGTATATTTCGTGTCCCAGGGGTGGAGGGTGTAGATGTTAATGTACAAATAAGTCATCTATGGAAATGGGGAGCGAGGGTTGGAATAGCAAGGCCTGTGATGTCTGAAGGTGAATTCTAATGCATATAGGCTTAACAAGACATGTTACTCTTGTTGGGAAGGAGCTGAAAATGATGAGAGCTAAGAAAAGACCAGATAGAGAAGAATCTTCTAAGCAGGAATTTAAAGATGTGGCTTGGTGGGGTTTGTCCACACACTGAAATCAAGGAGCTATTCTGGCTGTGATCTGCTGGGATGCCAGAGGTATTTCGCCCTTTGTGTGATCTCAGACTCTCTTCCCACCCCCCATCCCTCTTGTGCTGAGCTGAAAGCATCTCAGCTGCTTCTAAGGCTAACAAGCAGGAAGCCTGCGAAGTTATTCTGAGCAGCCACACATCCTGCTCAGCAATGTCATGCTCTAGCCTGACCCTGCTGCACTTGCCCCACCCCCATCGGGCTGCTTGTTTGTGGAGTGGATTAGATTGGCCTTCTGCTGAGCTGGCTCCTGTGGAGGGAGAACGTAAGCTGCTGTAGGAAATGCATCGGGCCTCATCTGTGCAGAAAGTGTTTCCTTCTTTTCTTTTATTCCCCCACCAAGAACTACCACTGCCACCAGCACTTTTTCCAGGTTAACAGTATGTCGAGTTTACTGAGGATGCCTTGTTCATGGTGCTTGCCGTATCATCCCCAGGGTGCCCTCTGTAACTGGTTTTAGGTCACCTCTGACTTGCCACAGTTTGGCCAACCTTGGCCAAAAATCAAAGCCTGAAGCTTGGCTCCTCTTTAGTATGTGCTTGCATCCGGCTCTTTAATGCCCAGATGGAAACTCAAGACCTGGCTGCGGCAGGCACTGTGAAGCCGGATGAATTGTCCTTTCCATATTGGCCTCTCCAAAGAGGATGAAGCTTAACAATAGAACCAAACAGTTGCCATCTCTGTGGTGGGGCCTGCAAAGCCAGGGCTATAACTGCCAGTTTGGAGCTCTTCCCTCTTAAGATGGCTCTTGCATGTCATTCCAGAGCTTAGTTTCATCTCCTGTTTTAAGTGCCAGGAACTAGCCCTAGAATGTACATTGCAACATTATAGACAAAAGCTTCTCTGGACATCTACAGGCTGCTTAGTGTTTTCCTAGCCTCCTGGGATTCTGGGAATGCTTTAGAAGACTAAGCACTGGGGTCCTCCCTTTCCAATGTTTGTATTGGTACCCAGGTGGAAAATGAGAAGGCCTCACTAGCCTCAGAGCTACAGGACCTCAAGACGCAGCTGACCAGCACCAAGGAGACCCTGGCGCAGCAGCAGACGTGCCACAGCCACCAGGTTGACCAACTCCAGCCCCTGCCAGCTAGCCGTAGCGGTGTGGCTAGTCCATTGCTCAGTGAGAGGGAGCAATACCGTGAGGAATTAGAAAAGGCTCAGCTTGCAGTCCAGCAGGAGAGGGAGGCAGCTGCCCAAATGGAAGCAGAATTGCGAGCTGCAAGGAGGATAACCCAAGAGTGTCAGTCACGGCTGGCCCAGGCCCAGGAGGAGCTTTTGGCCTTTTCTGAGGAGATGGCAGCTCTGTACCATCATGTCTGTGCCTGTCACAACATAACCCCTCAGCGTGTGGTGTTGGACTATTACCGGCAGGGCCGTGGAGCCCGAAGTATGTGCAGAAGGCAATCCTCTAGAAAGCTTCTGCTCACAGAAATGGAGACAAGCAGCAGCGGGGACCAGTCTCCGACCAGTAGCCCTGGTTCCCCCTGTGGCCTGGAGCCCCTCAATGTGGCCAATTTGACAGCAGTCTTGTGTGAGCAGCTGGGGCACCTTCAGATGGCACTCACCCTGGTGCATTGGCAGAGCCCCATGGGACACAGTGCTGAACTGGAGCATGACAAGGAGGCCCTGGTGGAGGAGGTGCTAAAGCTCAAATCCCTACTGAGCACCAAACGTGAGCAGATCGCCACACTCCGCACTGTGCTCAAGGCCAACAAGCAGGTAGGTGGAGGAAGGCCTTGCTGCCGGGCAGACCATTTCCAGGTTGATAGGATGGGAAATTGTGCATTGTGCCCTTCAGGCCATGGATGAGGAATCTCTTTCAGTCTGGGGGCCAATTCAATTTTGGGAAAGCCAAGGGGGTGCATTCCAGTAATGGGCAGAGCCAAATATAAAAATGGGTAGGGGCAAAATGCAGGTATATTTTACTACTGCTTACTTATTACCTGTCACTATGCCTTAGGACAAGAACTTCAGTCCTTGGAGTGGCAGTGGGGAATTGCGCAAAAGCCAGGAAACAATGACATGATAGGTAGTCAGGGGAATTTCTGCTAGAACCCTGATCTCAAACCTTTATTACATGAGATTTTCGTTTTGGAAAACTCTTGTACTTCTGGTTTGACTTCTGTTTAGTGTTAAACTGAATGGGTAGTGGAAAGCTACAAAACTGGTCTATGTTACTGGTGCTTTAAAAGAAATCACCTGAGCCTAGGTAATGGAAATTGTGGACCAAGCAAAGCAGAATTCTGTGACTTTGCATGAGATACATAATTCCTCTGTCTTTATTATTTTACTTTCTTATGCATATCATTGGAATGGGAAAAGAGTTATTCAAGAAGGAGTTACATTAGTGCCTGTCCCCAAGTGGTCAAGATCCTTCTCTTCGCCAGCTACTCGGCTTTTGAGGTTTCAGGGCCTTGCACTTTAAAGTGTGTTGAGTCAGCTTCTCCACTGTATTCCAGCATAAATCCTTTTAGGGAAACCTGCAACAGTAAAGGCCAAATGCCTATTCTACAGCTGAAGTTCTTAAGAACTGAATTGTATAAGTTACCATTGCCTAACCTGATACACTTCAGATTTCAGCTCCCAGTAGGCCTAGCCAGTACAACCAGCAGTCAGGAATTCTTGAAGTTGTAGTTCAGAACATTTGGAGGGTACTGGGTGGATGCTGGATGCTGTGGTCTGGGCTTACAGTGAATACTGGTGCAGAACCATAGTCCTGGGCATGATGAGTCACATGAGAGCTCAGGTCCTTACCATTTAGTCTTCAACTGTATTGGATTCTTTTATTAGCCACAAAATGGCATAATAGAAAATAATTTTTCAAAATGAAAGAACTACCACCACAGTGCAAAACACTCCCAAAAAAGGGTCATCCTAACAGAGTGGGGATGGAAGATACAAATTGAAAGCATACTTGTTTTCTGGCCTCCAGAAAACGAGAGAGGGCCTAAGCAGATCTCCTTGGGGAGGAAGCTCTGGGCAGGGTGCAGCCACCCAGGAGGCCCTGTCCCACAACCACATTCTAAATTATGGGTGATACAGAGAAAAGTTCCCACAATTAGTTATGCAGGCAGCTTCAGACACAGACACCACAGCAGTCTATGCTGCATCCTGCTGGTGCACCCACAGAGCCCATCCAAATGCCCTTGTGTGTGGCTTCTGGAAAGCTGGCCTGATTGCAGACCTCCCTCTCATTTCCTCAGCTGCAGCCTGGTTTCAAACCTGGTTTCCTTTGGCTGTGCCCCTGCATTTGTTGCAACACCACCTTATGTACTTTCACCCTACCTCCACCCTCTTTTCGCATTTCTTTCCAAAGTTCGTACTATTTTTGTATGCAGCCGCTGGGGCACAGACCCTGAGACAGGTATTTGCCAGACCTTTGGTTTTCTTTCCAGCCTGAGGGAGGAAGGCAGAAAAATCCTAATCCCAGCAAAGCCATGGCCTGGCTTTCTCTATTTTAGCCTTGGGTGAAGTAAATCTGCAAACTGGAGTGCTCAATAGCCAGTTCCTGGAATGCAGTCATGCTTTCAAAATGCTATTCTGGAGCCTGGCTGTTGGCCCATCTTCTGCCTTACATTAAGGCCAATAGCTGAAGCAAGAATTGGGGCTGCAATGAATGCAATTCTAGAGGGACATGAACCCACCTGATCTTGGGAGAAAGAGAGCTTCCATGTAGCTGTGGCCTCTGTTTCTGACTTAGATGGTCTTTTTAGGGTATCCCATTACTGACTGGCTGGTATCCCATCTCCAAGACTGCTTTTGAAACAGTTCTGAGGGTATTTCCAGCTGGTGTATGCGAGTGTTCTTTATATTATCCTCTTTATATTACGTTGGAGCCAGTGTGGTTAGAATGTTGGACTAGAACTTGGGAGACCCCGTTCTAGTCCCTGCTTAGCCATGATGCTCACTGGATTACTTGGGGCCAGTCACTGATTTTCAGCCTAACCCACCTCAAGAAGGGTGTGATGATGCAATGGGGAAGATTAGAAGGATTGTCTAAGCTGCCTAGGCTTCCTTGTGAATGAGTGAGACAGACAGACAGAGCTAAACAGATATGAAGGGGTAGAGGATTTCTGTGCATCACCTGAGCCTCAAAAACCTTCCTTTGCAGACAGCGGAAGCAGCCCTCTCAAATCTCAAAGGCCAGTACGAAGGGGAGAAGATGCTGGTGTCAGAGACCATGGCCAGGCTGCGTAATGAGCTGAAAGCCCTGAAGGAGGATGCTGCTACCTTCTGTTCTCTGCGTGCCATGTTTGCTAGCAGGTTCGGAGCAGGGCCAGCTTGGCTTCCTCAGAGCTGTGTTTGCAGTAGAGAAGGAGGAGTGGGGAAGGAGGAGTTAAACTTCTTCAGGAGTGAAGCACACTCAGTCTACTCTTGTTCCTGTGCATTGCTGGTTTAGTGCTATCAGACTTGTGTGCAGAGCAAGTCTTATTTTGTGACATCAGAAGCTAAAATATACTGCTTATTAGTATGCAAGTGAAACAAACTTGCATAGAATATTATGCAAAACTTGTTAGAAGATGTAGCTGACCTTTTATAATACTGAACATATTTTTCAGTATTACGTTTAGCTCCTATGATTTCAGCAGATATTGCCCAGTAGCACCCCGTTTTATTTACTTGAAGGGTAAATACTCAAAAGGAACTGCAGTGACTGCAACTTGTCAAGAGATCTGTGGGTTGGCCCATTTTTTCAGGTGCCTGGCACCCACTGCTTCTGTCTTCACCTCCAGGTGCGATCAGTATGTGAGCCAGCTAGATGAGATGCAGCAGCAGCTCGCAGCTGCCGAGGATGAGAAGAAGACCCTGAGCTCCCTGTTGCGCATGGCCATCCAGCAGAAGCTGGCACTTACGCAGCGCTTGGAGTCCCTCGAGAGCCCACTTGAGGGGTCCCGAGGCAGCAGGAGGGCCCTCAGACCAGCCAAAGGCAGTGCGGTAAGGACATCATGGTGTTGGGGGGAAGTCATGGGAGGAACCATCCAAATTGTAGGCCTGGTGCAGATCTAAAATGGTCTGGTTGTCTCAATATTTAATTTCTCTCCATATTCCCTATTAGTCAAAGCCTTCTGGGCAGTTTACAAGGCAGAATATAAAACATTACGACATAATAAAAAGGTATAAACCATACATCTAAAACTGAATGAAACCAAAGTAGTCATGGCTTATATGGTCATTCCTCCTGTTGATTTTGGCTCTAACCATGACCGATGTTAGCATTTAAGTTCGAGCCTGCATCAGCATTGGGAAACAAGCCACATTTTGCAAACTTCTGACTTGCAGGAATGGCTGTAGCCAAACTCTTCTAGTACAACAGTAGTTCCTTTGCTACTTCTGTAGCAATCAGCCACTCTTATGCAGATGTTGGCTGGGTGGGCATGTGATTGCAGAGATAGGAGTCTTTGGGCAAGTAGACAACTATTACTCATAGAGGTGCAGTCACCAACCATGACTGTGGAGACACTATAGGAGGAACAATTATCTAGGCAAGGTAAAGCTGTATTTCCTTAATACTGAATCATTTTCAAAACACTGCATTGTCTTTAGGCCTAAAAGTGCAGTTCCCTCCAGAAAGGAAGTCATTGTCTCAGTTGTACATGAAAGTGAGCTATCCAGCAGCTGTGAGCCTCGTTGTACCTCCAGTTGACGCACAGGAGCACTGTTTGAGCCAAACTGTGTAGCTGCTGTGTGTTTAGAAAGAGGAGGAAGTGGGTTCAGGAGAGACTGGCCAGGTTGCAAAGCAAAGCTGCAGTCATGCTTTATGTCTTTATTTTCCCAAACGGCCTCTAGGCAGCCCCATGGTGACCCAGGGCCCACCTGGGGGCAGGGGCAGGGAATCAAGGTGCCAGGCACAACTAGTGGAGCTCCACTTTGCAGTGCAGCAGGTTCTTCTGAGAGAAGAGATGCTGCCCTCTGTTAAAAGGAAGAGGGGTGAAGAGAGAATGAGCATGAGATTGGATGGTACTGAAGGTGGGGAAACAGGCAGAGCTCCAAGGAATGTGTGGTGGGGAGGATGGCCTGAAGGGCATCTGGTCTAGGCCTCAAAAGGTATTCACTCCATTGTTACCAGGCTCTCACTTCTCTAAGTAGTGGTTGTCTCTGGAGAAATTAGAATCCATGACAGTATATATGTGGCTTTGTGCTTACAGGATGAGAGGCTCTGGAATTCAAGCTAAAAAGTTTCTTGTTTTGGGATAATAGCCACCTTCTGTCTGTACTGTTGCATAATTGAAATCATTATTATGACTTTGCATTTATATCCTGCCTTTTTATTCTTGTGGGAATTCAAAAACACCTCCTTTTAATCTCTACTATAACAACCCTATGATATGGGTTTGGCTGAGCGTGAATGACTGACCCAAAATCAGCCAGTGAGTTTCATGGCTGAATGGGGACTAGAGCCTGGATCTGCCAGGTCCCCAGTTCAGCACCCACACCACCATGCCACACTTGCGTGATGAGTTTGTTTATGAAATTGGTGTTATGATGAAGACTGCAGTGTGGATATGTCATGTCTTTGAGTTTGCTAAACTGCCTTAAGTAAGACTCTGCTCCCACTTGGCTGTATTGTGGGGAAAATACTGGCTAGTTTATATGGTACACTTTAAGCAGGATGTTTTACTAGTGCAAGTGAATCTGCACAATGACCAGCACATGAGCTATAGCACAACCAGTGGAGCAGTATGTTTTTTTCTAATCTGCCTTCTCTCTTCTTTACCCCACCCCCTTCTTTCAGAGATGAGACGTCCAATAACCAGTGCAGGATTTGCAGGCATTTCTGGTGCAGCTTCAAACGTGCTGTGTGGTCACAGAACCCTTGTTCTTTTTTTTTGCGTAACAGGAAAGACTTGGTACCTGCAAGTTGTAGCCACTTAAAGAACGCGATTCCAGGAGGAGGCCTCTGGCTAGAGATGTCTATCTGCCCCTCTGTGCCTTAAGACATCTTGAAGCACCATGTCTAGATCAGGTGCTTTGTTCCCTAAGCGCCTCTAATACTGTGCCTTTTTTGCTAGCTCTAATGTTAATGACACCAATGTTGGCCTTAATGATCAGAGCTTGCCTGCTTTGTGACAGTTGGCTGAAGAGGGGCAGGCTGTTCCTTCCCCAAAATTTCTTCACGTGTTATACTCTGTTCCTTCCCCAAAATTTCTTCACATGTTGTACTCCCTGGGTCCATCTGTTTTGCCTGTCTCCTGTGCCGATACACCCACCCCCGCCCCAGATTTTGCACGTAGTTAATGTCTAACTGCTTGAATGCACAGGTTGAAGGAAAATTGAAAAACTAGCTCCATGCAGTATTGGGATGTCTTGTGGGATGGGTACGTCCAGTCACTATCATGGTAACAGTAACAAAGCAATGTCGCTTGAAGTCTGGGCTAAGTAAGCCCGTGGTTGTTTGCTTCAAATAAATAATTGGTTTTCTTGGATCTCCAGTCTTTTTTTTTTCCTTATTTACAGTTAAGTGCACTGCCTTCCCCAACCATTCCTCCAGATGTCTTGACTACAATTCCCAGAATCCCTCAACCAGCTGGATGAGCTTGCTAGTACAAGGATGTTCTATAACTTATGAAATTTTACGTTATTGAGTTATATACCACTGACAAGTATTATATTGCATTTGTATCCCACCTTTAGTCCTCTCATGAGTGACCCAATATTTGGTTCTCCTCCATTCCATTCTTATCCTTATAACCAGAACCCCATGAGGTAGGTTAGGGTGAGAGTAAGTGACTGGTCGAAAATCACCCAGTGACCTTCATGGCCACATGGGGACTAGGACCCGGATTTCCTAGTCCAGCACTCTTACCACCATGCCACGCTGCTTATTTTAATAGTTTCTACCTTCATTCACTTACTGGGTCAGGAAACTAAGCCTATTTGTGTTACCTGCTTGTCCTTCTACGGCCTCTACACTTTCTCTGTTTAGCAAATAACATTTTAGCTGTGGTGGTTTCAAAATAAAGTGTGTGTGTTTTTTTTTAAACTGACATATATGAAAGGACAACCGCTTTGCAAGGGTATCTATTTCCTCAAGCTTGTTTAACCAAGCAGTTTTTATTGCCAGAACATATGAAATTGCTTTTGTGCATGTCCAGTGCTATGGACACAATGTATGCATAATCAAATTGCATCACTGGGAAATATCTTGATAAGCACTGGATCTCCCTCTTGTTTCTACATAGCTTTTTCTCTGCTAGGGAAAGACTGCATCCTTGCCCTTACCAAGGCTAGTGGCCATCTGGCCTGGATGCCAAAGGTTTTCTGAAAGGACCTTCTGTGCTTCAAGCGGCCCATGCCAGGCACCGGTGGGAGGGAGGAGGATGGCTGGCCTTCTGTTTAAAAACAAGCCACCCTCAAAGAAACTGTGATAGAAGATTTGCGACTGGAGAGGTCTGTGTCTGGGTGGCTGATGCCCCCTTCTGGCAAAAATTTGAAGTTGATGCAGCATTAACCCTGCTGGCTAAAGATGGTCATGGGCTGGAGCCTTCTGATAGCATGCTTGCTGGCAAACTTGCTGCAGTGTTTGAAACGACTCTTGGTCCTTTTGGCTGGACTGTAGCTGTGGTAGTTCTGCAAAATATGGGGAGGAGCTGAGAAGACATGTTCTCATGAAATTGTATCCTGCCTTGGCAGTTAGGGCTAAGGTGTATGTGCAGAGTATAGTGCCAGTGAAGAAAGGAGTTCCTACAGAAGAGTGTTCCCTCATCCCTGAAAATGCACTCATAGGAGAGAAGGCCTGATACGGTGTAGAGCTAGCTTCTGTTCTGACCTAGATGCTAAAGTTGCCATGTGGAAGAGATCTGTTGATTACGTTCCAGGTCTATTTATTATTTTGCAAGACTTAAGCAGTATTTCAGGCCTGGGGTAGATGATCATGACTGGAGTACAAAATGCTGCTGCAAGTTCTGTGGATAGTGCCAGCTGCTGGGGAGAGATAGCTCACAGCACGTACATTGTCAACAGGCAGAAGAATACGTAATACAGGGAGAAAGAGAACACGCCTATACTGTGTTACCTATTGCCCAATAAGATGCTGTTACTGAGTAAGAACTGCAGGAAGTGCAAAACTACCTATGAGATGCAAGCTGGGGGTGCAAGTTAGCCTGCAGGGGAAATTAGTCATTTCACGTAGTGGGAGTATATGATATGTTGGCCATATGATGAACTATCTATCCTTGCTTATTAGAAATTGTTCCCAGCCAGGTGCATCTATGATACAAATGCACAGTTCCTCCCTCCTTGCAAATGTTTGTCCCTAAAAATGCTATGACAGCAGATGGCACCTTCTAGGCCAAAAGTAAGGACTTGGGAGAGGGATGTGAAGAGGAGGGTCATGCCTTAGTTGGGTCCTGATAAAGCAAGCATATGAGAAGTGTACCTAGCTCAGCTTTCCTCAAATGGGTGCCTTCTGTATGTTTTTCACTATAAATCCCATCACATCTAAGGGTTGGAGATGATGGGAAATGTACTCCCTGACATCTGGAAGGCAGCAAGCTTGGGTAGGCTGATTTAGTCTCTTGCTTGCTTGCTTGAACTGGAACAACCTGGAATTAAAATAGCTTCTTGTAGACCTTTTGTCTTACTCAAATACAGCTCACAGTATAAGGCTCTTCAAACTGTGAAAGACTTGAAAGCATCTACCCTTCCATATGGAAAAGGCAAAATGGTGGTGCTTCTACTCTAGAAAAGGTAAAAGATGGGGGAGAGAGCTACTCTTTTTCTGCTTTTCAGGTATGAGTGCTCTTGCTTTGTAGCCAATTTCACCACCCATCTACAGAAGACTTTGGGGTATCCCAAGGTTTGCCAAAGCATGTGCATGAATCTTTAGGAAATGACCCCTAAGTGGCAGAAGCTCCCCACGGAGGAATGAGCATGTTCAGGGGGGCAGCAATAGAGGAAACAAGTTCTCAAGAGGAATCTGGTTCATTGATGTCAAAGATAATGCTGGACTGAGGATTTGATCCCAGAAGATACCTACGGAATATAGCTTGGTCACTTGCAGCTGCAGAAGTGGTGGTAGGAGCTGCATGTGCCCTGCCCCATGCCAAAGATTGGAGTAGGGAAAAGGGAGGGAGCAGGAGGCACATATGGTGGTGCATGATGACCAAGAAAGGGTTCTCAGCTAATCTGTCAACACGTAATTTTGTCCCAGTTCTCTCCATTCTTTTATAAGCCATTTTTTCATGGGATCTACAAATCAGCGTGTCATATTTAATAAATGAAATTCATGCTCCAAAAGTGGGTCAAATAAAGCTGAGGTGGAAAATATGAGTCTGGCAATATTTGGTGAGCTGCATATCCATTACTGTTAGTTGTACTGGCTAGGGCTGATGGGAACCGAAGTCCAACATCTGGAGGTTCTTTATGTCCCCACTTGTGACATAAAGGTTGCATTGAAGGTTAGTCCTTAGAGTTACACTCATTGAAACTAATGGGAATTGTTAGACATAAGTAACCTGCATACTACTAATTTCCTAAGCAGAACCAGCAGAAGTTACAACCCAAACACTCCAGATCTGTGCCTGGATCAAGTACAAATGTTTATATTTAGATCCCCCCCCCCACATTTTCCTTTCAAGGAACTCAAGGCAGCTTACATAATTCTCTTCCTCTCAGGCATCTCACAACAATAACCCTGTGAGGTAGGTTGGGGTGAGAGTTTGTGACAGCTAAAGTCACAAGTGAATTCCATGGCTGAATAGAATCTGGATCTCCTGGGTCCCAGTCTTGCCCCTTAGCACTACATGACACTGGCTCTCACTGTTCCCTTGTGTTTGAATTAATGGTGGATGTAGTGAATTGCTTATATAACCTGAGCAGCATGAACTCACCCAGTGAACTGTGATAATTTCCATAGCATGTTCCACATTGCTATAATGCAACATGAAAGCAAAAAAAAAAAAAGGGCTTTCCATCCCAGAAGACCAAAGGTTTGACACAGTGAACATACGCATTGTGTAAAAAATGAACAGGGCTGGTCCAAGACTTCTTGATGCCTAAAACAAAGCAGCATAGCACCAGGCTGGTCAAGTTAGTTTTGCATCTGGGACAGAACATTTCAGGAGTGTCTTTTGCTGGGAATAAAAACAAAGTAAATTTTACGCTTTGCTCGCCATATGTGGTTCCTCAAATGCATTGACATAAAGCATTTTTATTCTGTTCTTTTGCCAAAAGATGCTCCCAGACTGCCTTAGAAAGGCTAATAATAGCACAACCGCTACCCCTACGCTAACAAGACACAATACAAAAAGAAATGACTTTGGGAGGATGGGATGAAAGCAAATTTGGTCATTAGCTCCTAATTACAAAGTTTTTATAACGAGCAGCTGGAGCAGGAACAGTTCAGAGTAGGACCCTGTAGTTGCAGTCTCTCAGCTGCTCTGAATAGGCAGGGAGTAGCAGCATCACCTTGCTTAATAGAAGGGCCAGCCCTCTAGCATACAGCTTTAGCCCTATCCCTCCAAAATATGTGCATAAATAAAAAATCCCTGCTCTGAGCCAACAGCTGTGGACCTACTTTTGGAAGTGCTGCTATACAGGGGTCTAGAATGCGGAGACAGAGAGCTTAACATGGGTGTTCAGGTCAAGAGGACTAGTAGTGCTGGAAACCTCAGGTCTAAGGCATGTTCTATACAGGTAAAATGGACAATTTCTCTACTTTGGTCTGGATTGTGAGCTGCTTTGAGGATTACTGTGTTACACCCACTGATTCTAAATGTGTTTGGTATGTCCCAGCTGGTTTCTTCCTAACAGATCTAATTTTGCCAGCCACTAGTTTCAGAGGCCAGCAAATCTCTCAGTCAATATTTTTTTTAAACTGGTGTCTTAAAAAGTATAAACAATTCCTGAAATCCTACACCCAACTGAAAACAACCTTACATTTTGAGTAAGCATGATCAGGATTAGACTGCAAAGGTCATGTCAGGTAGGGTAGAGTCATTTCTGGAAGAAAGAGTCTAAACCGAGGACTGAGGAAGGTTTTGTGACTGTGCAATAAATCCCAAACAGGAGAAATCGGTTGGTGCATTCAGTCGGGGAGAGTAGCCAAGTCCAGGGGAGGAATAATATGAAATGCCACATGTGTGCAGCTTAAAGAACAGGAATGTCCCCGCTCACTCTTAGGGTGGAATTCAATACAAGTTTAGACAGAACACTTAGACGTAGGACTTCTGTTTTGTCCACTCATGCATAGCACTGCACATTTAAGCGTGTTTACATAGCAGCGGGTCCCACTAAGCTTACACTTCGGATTGTGGGCGCAGACTGCATGCTCTTTCTTGGGAGTCAGTAGGAATTACTTACAAGTAAACACACGTGGAATCCAAACTGCGAGGCTGCAATTCTGTGGACCGTCTTTGGGGAAGAAGTCCCCATTGAACTTTAGGGAGCCCACTTCCTAGTTCTTTAACGTGACAGGGCTGTGTTTTTAAGGATGCGCTTATTTGGAGAAATAGTAAATTCCGCTGAAAGGTAGAGGAAGGCTTTCCCCCCAGGAAACTAAGAGAGGCGCCGGATGACAAGGAAGCGACGCAGGAAGCGCGCAGGGGGCTCCCTCTTCTGCTAGCCCAGGCGTGTGAGCGGGCAGGGGGCGGCCGGCCAGGCCCTCCCCCTGCCGGGGCGGAGCTACCTCCCCCTGCCCGTCCCCTTGGCTGGCATTTTCTTCTCCTGCAGCGCGCCTCTGCCGGCAGACGCCTCTCGCGCCATGGCAGGGGCCGCCGTCGTGCGGGCCGGGTGGCTGCTGCGCCAGGCGGCCCCCTCAGCCCCCTACTGCACCCACTTCGGGGCCGAGGCACCCGGCGCTGCTGCAGCTGCGGCCGCCGCTCAAGCCCCGCAGCCCAGGCCGCCTTATGGCAGCAGGAAGCCGCATGCCCGACGACCGGCAGGAGCGACTCCCGCGGACGAAGACCCGGCCGCCCGAGCCTTTTCCAGCAGCGCTCCGGCTCCCGGGCCTGACAATAAGAGTTTTCTTTGGGCTCGGTATGGGGAGATGAAGCGGTTGGTGCACGGTGAGGCGCTTTCTTCTCTCGCTTATCACAGCCCTCTCTCGGGTGGGTAGAGAGGAATCGGTGCCTGAAGTACATCTTGGGGGATCCCAAGTCTGAAGGCTGCTCGAGAAACTGGGGAGGTCCCCCCCGTGACTCAAAAGACTTGCCTGCTTTTTTTTCTCGCCACCATCGCAGCACAGCTCCACTTTCCTACATTCACCCGCACTCTTTTAGTTATCAGCCTTCTCCCCTCCACCTGAAAAGAGCACTCATTTTCTGGGAGACTCCAGAGATACTGTCCGAACCGCCCCCCTCCATCGTCCTTAGCTCTTCTAAGCGCGATCTTTTCCCCAAATATCCACGGGGGACCCCAAGCTGCGCTTCTAGGAGCATGTTCCCGGTGCAGACTCCTGGGTACGTACGCACGCGCTGTCTTGCACGTCGAGATTTCCCCTTCGTGCCGTCCTCCTCTTCATCTCTATTGCCTCTTAATCCAACAGAACGGGGTTCTCTTTCTCGGTACCTTCTCCACACCCCCAGCACCTCCTATCATCTGGTTCTCTGTAGCACATTTTTGCCTCCCAAGTTCATCTCTGATAATGTGATGAATTTGAGAACCTTTCCATGCTTTCTTTGCTTATTATTAGAATATAACGGCTTCCCAGTTCCCTTCCCTGGCATCTGAGTTGGGGTGTGGAGGCTCCCCTCCCCCTTGTTTTTCATGGAAGGGCTGAAAGCTGGGGTGGGGTGGGGTGGGGGGGTAGAAGGAATCTGCATGGTGCTTTGTCTGGTTTTTAAAGCAGGGCTTGGGAGAGCTCTAGTGTGAAAAGACGTGAACAACATCAACAACGGAGGGGGAACAATAGAGAATTCTACTGCATCTTAGGGAGTAAGATACTGTGGGATTTTCCCACAGCTGTGTGTTTGTGCATGTCCGTCTGACAACTTAAAACAATGATTCATGCATCTGATCTTGTGGCTTCAATCCGTGAAAACTTAAGGACATAATATATCTTTTAGGGGGCATCCTAAGTGGGGAATGCTGGGAGTTGTATTTTTTCTATCATACATATCATACAGTCTGTCATACATAAGATTGTATCCTTGGTATTTATGCCACAAATATCTTTTTTCAGTATTTGAGCATGAAGCTCTTCAACGGGAAGGTGCTACAGAAATTGTTCTCGCTTCTCTGCTTCCACAAGGACTGGTGTCCTCTTTAAAATGGCAGTTGATTAAACAGATGACTTTTAATTGAGTCAAAACTGCAGCCATTCGTGGGGTTGAGTGGGGGAAGCCATCTTTCAGCTTGAAACTCTGTATCATCCACAGACAGCATAAACATGGTAGCTCGGGATCCTGGGGGGCTGCAATCCAGTACATATGGAGGGCACCAAGCTGGAAAAGGATGTCTTAGATTCTGCACCCTGAATATCTGGCAGTGACCATCCTGGAAAAGGTAGTACTTTCCCATGTTGTTTCTAAGTTTTCAAAAACAAAATTGCCAATATCATATTGCCCTTCTGCAAATCTGTTGTTCATCTGCACTTACATTTGGTCACTGCAGCTAGAAAGGATGCGGTTAGAGTTGGAAAAATGCAGAAAAGGGCAACTAAAATGATCAAGGGGTGGGAGCAACTCCCCTGTGAGATTATAACATCTAGGATCGTTTAGCTTAAAAAAACAAGGCAAGTTAAAAGACTTGATAGAGGTCGACAACATTATGTATGGTATGGAGAAAATGGAGACATTGTCTCTCAATAGTAGAAACCAGGGTCTTCCCATGAAACGGATTGTTGAGAGATCCAGGACAAATCCAAGGAAGTACTTCTTCACGTGGCACTTAAGCTATGGGACTCACTTCCATGAAATGCAGCATCAGTCACCAATTTAGGCAGCCTTAAAAGGGGACTGGACACATTCATAGATCCAGATGGGTCTACACTACCTCCAGCATCAGAGGAGATGCACCCCAGTGGCTGGGGAACGAGGGCAGGAGGGTGCTGTTGCACTCATGTGCTGTTTGGGAGTGCCCATGGGTGGTATTATTATTATTATTATTATTATTATTATTATTATTACATTTCTATGCCGCCCCTTGCCGAAACCTCGGGGCGGCTTACAACATGATAAAATACATTGAAATACAATAGTACATAATAAATTACTATTAAATATAAAAATACAAAAAATACATTGATTTACAAATACAAAATTAAAATTATCAGTATAAAATAAAAATATAGGAGGAGAAAGAGAAGGAAGAAGAAGTTGCCCAGGCCAGATCATATGTTTTAACAATTGAAATGATGTTTAAATAAAAAGGTCTTTACCTGGCGCCGAAAAACCAGTAACGACGGTGCCAGGCGGACCTCTTTGGGGAGTGAATTCCATAGGTTGGGCGCCACCGCAGAGAAAGCCCTCCTCCGGGTACTTACTCTCCTAATTTCTTTCATGGAGGGTTCCCGGAGAAGGGACTCTCCCGCAGATCTCAAAGGGCGGTCGGGCATATACGGACGTAAGCGCTCGTTCAGGTAGCCAGGACCCAAGCCGTTTAGGGCTTTGTAGGTCATAATCAACACCTTGAATTGGGCCCGGGCTTCAATGGGAAGCCAGTGAAGCTGATGGAGGACTGGAGTCATGTGAGCATAACGCCCCGTCCCCGTCAGCAACCTGGCAGCTCTATTTTGCACCAATTGAAGTGTTCGGACTGTCTTCAGGGGAAGCCCCACGTAAAGCGCGTTACAGAAGTCTAGGCGGGAAGTCACCAGCGTGTGTGTCACCGTCGCCAGGCAGTCGTACTCCAGGTAGGGGCGCAGCTGATTAATCAGCCGAAGCTGAAGGAAGGCGTTCCTCGCTACCGCTGTCACCTGAGCTTCCAAAGAAAGCTCCGGGTCGAGGAGTACTCCTAAGCTGCGGACCTTATCCCTAAGAGGGAGTGTTGCACCATTCAGGACCAGGTCAAATCTGGTTGGCCACTGTGTGTGCACAACACTTGCACCCTCAGTTTGATCCAGCGTGGCTCTTCTTATGGCCCTACATGTTTTCATATCAAATAGTTGACAGCACAATCTGATACATGTCTATTGAGTTCCTGGGATTTATTCCCAGTCTTACTCTTACCCAGGGTTACAGTCTTACTCTTTTTAAAATATCTGATATCTGGTTAATGAGGGGAAGCGCCTTTTAAAATGACCAGCCATTTTAAATCTAATAGATTATTGCATTAATTGCACAATCCTATGCATGTCTGCTCAAAAGCAGGTCTCACTGAGTTCAGTGGAACTTAGTCCCAGGTAAGAGTTGCAGTTGTATGATCCATGGGAGGGCTTCCCAGAGGCCAGAAGAGATAGCAGATCTCCTTCTCCATGGGCAGAAAAGGGGCTCTGCATAGTCACAGGTGGGCAGCTGGTGAAGAGGGCGGAAAGCAGGCATTCCGAGGACATGTTGAGGCTTTGGGTCTGCTGGATCCAGAGCCATTCCCAGGCACATCCTCAGAATGAAGAGAAAGCGATTGTGTACTTATTTTCCAGTGATCCCAATGGGAGGGAAAATAGGAAAAGTTTTGCCTCACCCCTCCTTCTTCCTGGCCAACTCATGTCCTTCAGGATATAGATAGTGACAGTTCACCTGCCATGGATTCTTCTTCCATGCGGATGGATCTGCTAGGCATTCTCTTTGTCTCACAATAGTAGAACCCAGGGGTCATCTTATGAAATGGATTGATGGAAGATTGTTGCTACTGTGGTGTCCCAAATTGGTGTACAGAAAGAAAATTCTTTCTAGCTTTTTGAAGACTCTCCTTCAGTTCATGTCCTTTGAAGTCTGGGGTTCTCCTGGAAAAGGCCTGGGGTTGGGATTGTCTCATGGATCCGCTGGAGGACACATAGCTGGTTCAAGAGACAATAGCACAATTGAGTCTGCCGCTCTTGCTTGCAATACATACATGCAGATCACTTAACATGGACTATTGACCTCATTAATGTACGGGGGAGAGCATGCTGCCCTTGCAGCCTGGGACACCAAGTCATAGCACAAGTGTCAGAGCACTTACTTTGCATGTAGAAGTCTTCAATTCAGTCTTGGACATCTCCAATCTTGGGGGGGGGGGGGGGAGTTGCTGCCTGCCAGAGTAGACAGTACTGAGCTAGGGGGCATCTCACCTGGTAGAAGGTACCTCCCTATGTTTCGAAATTGCAAGAGTCTGAAAAGGGTGTATGTGTTTTGCTTTGGCTTTTCACCCCCTTTTTAATACTTCTGCATTGAGTTAAAATTCTGACTAAGCTTGGGTGTCCATATAGTAGGGTTAGTACAGTTTCAAATGAATTTAGAGTAAAAAAAAGTGTGCTTTTTTGTATAAAGATTTGAAAGCATAAAGTGGCCAAATGTCTGGCTTTGGTTTCTTATTTTCCCATCTTCCAAATGCTACAAAAGATGCCACGTCTCCTTCCCTCCTTTTCTTTCCCCTCCTTCTGCTATTCCTTTCCACCATACACCACAGCACATAAAAGGACTTTACAGTTTGCTCCCTTCCTGCCTGCTGCCAGTTCCTTCCCTCTTGAGCTGTGGCATCAGCCAGCTGCTGCAGTTGTTTGCTGACTCTGCCAGACTGTTTGACTCAGCGGTTTCCTCTGTGTTTTGCCCAGTGTTACTGTCAAAGATCTTACTCATCCCAATTACAGAGTGATTTTTTTAAAAAATGAGCACCATGATTTCTATCCAGCTAAACCAGTTGAAGTGTGTGGGCAGGGGCAGGGTAGAAAACAAGAACGTGAATTCCGTGCTCCCAAGATTTCCTCACTCATCACCTGGCTTTAGGCAAATGTTGCATTAGTGTGTCCACTTGTACTTGAGAGAGTTGACAAGTTCAGGCTGTCTGTTACACAAATGCTATATGTTTTTAAAAGATCAGAACACTAATTTCATATGTTGTATATTTCTACATATTTGTATATGGCAAAACCTGCTAGTACTGCTAAAAATAATTCTGCATGCATCTTATTTAAAATCATGTAATGTTT